TGTCTGTATCTAGAAGGAAAGCATACATAAAATCCCTTTGGAAACTGTGAGATACTATTCAAACGGGAAGCCGAGGACTGGGATGCCGAAGACCTGGCCTCCAGTACCAGCTCTGTGCCTTAGTGACGATGATAAACAGTACCAAGAGCTACTGTGAACTGACCCATTACATGCACTGTGCCTGCACTGAATTAAACACTTCACATTCGGTCATCTCACTTTGACTTTATTACAACCTTCTGAGATAGAGAGCGTTAACCTCATTTACAAATGAAGAAACTGGAGCTCCTAGAGCTTTGGCAATTTGCCCAAAGTCACAGAGACCTGGATGCAAAACCTGGTCTGGCTGACTCCAAAGTTTGGTGCTCCTGGCCACTAAGCCATATGTAGATCTTGGGCAAGTTACTTCTGTCACTTTTACTTCTGTAAAAGAAAGAGCAAACCCGGATGATCTCTACAGAGCCTTCTACACCTGACATTTTGTGATCTATTCTCCTGGTCCCCGCTCAGATCCAATTCTACTCCGGGCTAGTTGATGGAGACTGGCCGGAGGAGGGGAGTGGGGGAGTGATGATAATCCAATCCTTTCATCCCCCTGGTTAGGGGTGTTTTGTTTTGTTTTGTTTTGTTTTAGGACAGGAAGCGACCCAAACATTCGCACTCCTATGTGTGGGTTTGTATCCTGGGCCAGTTCCATCTCCTCACTCCTGTACTGCCCCGCCTGAATCCTGTCTTATTAACCCTTCCAGGACTCCCTAAACCCTAAAGAGCTTGCCAGCACACCCGGGGAAAAGGGAAGGGCGGAAGGCAAAGGCACAGCTGGATAGGCTCGGGGAGCCTTAGGGTGGCAGGGCGAATGCCCGCCCGCCCGCTCCCCTTTACTGCGGCGGAACTCAGCTCTCCCGCCCCTTACGCCAGTCACTCAGCCTCTAAGCGCCAGTTTGCTGCTCTGTAAATCGAAGATACGAATTCCTACTTCAAGGAGCTGCAGCGATTAGTGAGATAAATTTTTGAAAACTATCTGGTCCGTTCGAGGTCGCGCTACATCTCCCGCAGCTGAAGCCAGAGAGCCACAAAGCCCCGACCTGCTCGCGGCAGGAGACGGGTGGAGAGGGATCCCGGGCGGCAGAGTCCAGAGTCCAGACTGCGGCGGACCCCGCAGAGCCCGCAGTAAGGGGCGGCTCGGGGAGCGCTGGAGAAGGGGGCCCTCGGGGTGGGGGACAGGGACCGGGGCAAACCACCTCAGCCACAGCTGCCTGCCTCCGGGTGTCTCCCAGCTCCAACAGAAGCTGTCCGGGCTGCTCACCTCCGACTCCCGCCGCTGGCTTTTGAACGCTTCCCGGCCCTTAGGCGACGCCGGCTTCCCTTTTCCGCCGCCGCCGTTGCCGTTGCCATTGGCGGGCGGGCTCCCGGCCCCCGGCGCCACGGGGTCCTCCATGCGGCTCTGGTCAGCGGCTCCCCTCAGCTGCTCAGAGCTCTTCGCCCAAGGCGACCCCGCCACCCTGCGCGGGCAGCCAGGCCCCACCCCCTCCGCAGCTATTGGCTGCGACTATTTACCGCAGCCCCGCCCCGCGACACGATTGGTTGTTCGACCTCTTGGAGCGGGACTTAGAAGAGGTGGGGGCTCCTTCAAGGGATTTTTCCCCCCCTTGTCTTTTTCCTACCCCAGTCCTGCGGCGTTGCTGATAGCAATAGACTACTGGATTGTTCCCAAGTCCACCCCCCCCCCCCAATACTGGGCTCTCTGCACTTACCCCCTCCTAAATAGCGACCTTTCGGGGAGCTCTAGTCTCCGCCTTCTGCTCCACTGCAGTCTCCGTTCCCCCATTACCACAGACCTCTGCCCCCAAATCCCGGTTCCTGCACACGTCCCAAATCCCGCTTCTGTCGCGGGGAAGGGATGGCACCTCCGGGTGGCCAGGCGCACCGCAGGAAACGAGGGACTCGTCCTCTCTGTTAGCTGAGATTTCTTAAGAGAACTCACGCCGCTCGGAGTGAGGACTTAGCAGGGAGAATAAGGTCTAAGGGGCGGGGCGTTTTCACTTCACTGAAATTGCTGCTCCTGGTCACCTGCCTTTCTTTGCTGAAGTGGGGCACCTTCCTTACGTTGTGATACAGGGAGTTAAAAATGGAGAGCAAGCCCTGTCCTCACCCAGTCTTCTGCTTCATTCTTCTAAGATCCGTCCTGGGGCAAAGGAGGCCGTGTGGCTTGCCCACTCTGGAATGTATCTAAAAAGCAGTAAATGGGTAGGCAGTTTGGGGTCGTAATAAGCGGCCTGAGGGGAATGGATGGACCAAATGGGTGGAGTTGTTGAACTGCCACTTTTTCCAGGCATTGCACCAGGCACTTTCCAGGTATATCACACCTCTCTCTCTGACAGGTTGTTTTCACGAATCCAGTATTACTGATGAGGAAATCAGGACTCATAGAGATTAATTATTCCTCGCAGTTCTCAAGGTATCATATTCTATCTTGTTTTAGTGTCTTTGAAGGTACTGTTCTCCCTGGAGGAAACCTTCTGTTCTCTTGGCTAATTTCTGGCCTTTCTTAAAGGTTCTATTTAGTCATCACCTCCTTCTCTAGAAAGCCTTGTTTTCGACCCTCTTCAGCCCGTTCAGGCAGTGTAGGTGTCAAGCCAAGTCAGCGTAGATCCAAAATCCTTCCACTATATCCCAAAGGAAGGTGCCTGGAGGAGGAATTCCCCTTCTTATGTCTTAGGGACAACTCTGTCCCTTTCTTAACTCTTTCCCTCATGTTTTCCTCTGCTAGTTAGTAGGTGACAGATCGAGGCAGAGTTGAGGGAGTGAGCACTCCTTGGAGCTTTCTGAGTTCCTTTCTCTCCCCAACGTCTCCTTATTGTACCCTCTCATCCCCACCTCCCACCTGTGCTAGAAGCTCCAGAGTAGGGCCAAATAGACTGAGAATGGAATTGGCAACCCAAGGGTCACAGGAGGGCACTCAATCCCCTGAGCCACACCAGCCTGGGCTCATTTATATATGTTTAACACAGGGGTTCTTTGACTGAAAAGTTATTTGTTGTGGGGAGGGTCTATGTTGTACGTTATAGGATGTTTAGCAGAATCCCTGGCCTTTCCTCACCAGATGCCAATAGTACTCTCCCCCTAGGGTGACAACCAGTTATGTCTCCAGATATTGCAAAATGTCCCCAGAGGGGCAAAATCTTCTGGGGTTGAGACCCAATGGTTAACAGAATTGAACTAATATGAATTTCTAAGAAAGTCCTTGGCTCAAGGCCTAAACTACTTGATTTCTGAATCCTTTTCAGGGTATAATTTGTTAAACTATTAAGGAATCATACTCGGCTTTGAAATGCACAACCTACGCGTAGCTCATCACTGCCACAGCACAGCCCATTAGGGCTTCTTAATAAAAGAATGAATTATTCTACCTTCCCTCTCCCCAATACCCCTCCTCCTAAGCAGTCAGAGCTCTAGGACTGACAGGCCCAGAACTTCATGTTCTCTTTCGTGAGCCTAGTCAATCAGCAGGATCTCCAACTGTGGTGGCAGACAGGAGTAGCCAGTTTTGAAGTTTGTTCCTTTTCAGCATATCCCTAGGTTGAAGGGAGCAGGGTGATCCTCTAGTTGGAAGTGGGACTGAGGACAGCTCTCAAGTCCTCTCTGGCCTGTATGTAAAGCCTTTTGCGGAGTCTAGAGCTCCACCTGGCTTCACTTTCAGAAAAGGGGTTCGAAAGATGGGTATTATGGAGACTGCAAAGAATTAACATGAGAAGAGACCTCAATCCATTACCTTTTCCACAACCTTTTCCAAGAAGACAGTAAAGATCAGACATCTCTCTGACCATTATTAGGTCCAGACTTTCAGAGTGTGTCATGAGGAGGAAGCTATCTGGTGAACAAGAAACCAAACTAACCGACAATTTTGAGACTAGAGGCCATGGAATTGGCACACACTCAAGTTCTTTTAGTTTACTTGTCAATAAAGAAGTGACAGCTATCAATACCACTGACCACAGTGGTGCCCATAACTCGGAGCTAATCAGGGGCTGGTCCACGAGCTTTTCCATCTTGCAGAGGTGGCTCCTGTGCTGAGTTATTTTTAAACCTACACTACCACACTTCCTTGTCCCAAAACCCAGGTTTCCTGAGGCTACTGGCAGAGGGTTGGATATATAAATAGGTATATCACAAGGATGAAACACACCCCTTTTCCCATATAAGCGCTTCACTTTAATCCATGGAGGTCAGATATGTGATTAAATAGGTAACATGACACTGAGAACGCTTAAAAATAAAATATAAGAAGTCTTAAAATACCTAGTTTGGGAAGTATCAGGCAGCCTGAATAAAATAGTAGAAAAAGAACATTCTCCTCTCCCCATCAAAGGCACGTGTGGGTGTAATGAGAAAATATCTTGCATTCAGAATGTAGAACTAGTTTAGGTTACCAACTAAAGAAGCTGGCTATCAGAAAGCTGCTTAAAAACAGTTTACTCAACTGGTAGTTGAGAAGGAACAGGCAGTTCCTCTGGTTACTCATCCTCTGGCTACTGACTTAGTCAGGCAAAACCTGCCTTAGAGATGAATCTTTGCCAGAATACTTTCTTCCCCGTGGTTGGATGTTGTCAGGTCCTGAATATCGGGGTCCTTAAGTCCCCAAACATGGGATGTCAGCGAGCTTCTGTGCTCTCCACCTCAGGGTAGCATACTGGAGGCTTGGAAAACCTAGACTGAGGCTTTAGTTTGTCTTAAGCTACACTTCTCAACTCCCCAGGATGGTGGTTCTGAGAAAGCAGGATATTTACACATGTAATGGAGGTGGGGGGGATATTAATTAGTGGAATGACCCACCATGGAACATGGGACTCAAGGCTAAGGCCATTCAACCTGCCAGTTGGTGGCCGCGTCAGTTTGGCACACCCTCGCCCTCCAGCAGGCTCTTTAGCCTGTTGCCCGGAAACCGCTCTTATCTCCAAATTCACAGTTCACAGAAGCAGGGAATACTCTCAAGACAGGAATCCACTTTAAGAATATTTTATTTATCTTTTGAGATTACATGTTCATTATTGCTGATCTAATACAATCACTTAGGAGACATTAAGATTTCCAAGAGCCTCTCAGTAATGGTGATCCTTAGAGGTTTTATTTCCTTTCAGTAAGATGACAATGAGGACTAGATGATTATTTATATATATATGTATGTATATATAGTTTAGAACTTGTCCACGTATAATTTGCTGGTGTTGCCTATTTTCTTTCCATGATTTTCCTTTATTAAAAAGAGCCTAATGCAACAATGCATTCTGATTTCTTTTAAAACCATGACAAAGTTAATTTTGAGAAAACCACAGGAGCAGTGATTTCAGATCTGTTCGGAGAAAAGCCAAGCAGCAAAAAAGCTTTGCAGGAGCACGTGGCCACGGGGAGCCGTGCTCACATGAAAGGACAGGATGAGGAGGGAGGGAGAAGGAGGGGAGAGAGAAGGTAGACCAGATATTTTTTTTTTTTGAGAAAAAGAAAACAATATTTACATTAAGAAGGCAAAAAGATCTTGAAAACTAGCACAAATTCATCACAGGGAAAATGGTAAGTATCCCCACAGGCCAAGGCCACCTACAGAGATGGTTAGCCTTCCTTCCCATGCTTCCACATACCTAGGATGCATCTAAGGTGGGAGCTTGAGGGAAGAAGACACATTTGCTCTGATTGCAAGGTAGAGGGAATAATGACCAAATTCCAACACTAAGGTAGAGCCCAAATTCTCAGGAAACCTGAGTCTCCTTCTTAATGGTTGATTGACACAGGATCCCCAGAGAGAAAGGAAGAGAAGTCATCTGAAACTCAGGCAAATACCTCACTAAGCACGGGCAGCAACACTGGCAGCCTAACCTAGAAGCCCAGTGTGGCTCCTTTTTCATTTGGAATAGGTGTCTTCACTATAGCAAGGCAGGGTGTGCTCTGTCAGGATCAGCGCACAGTAAGCTCTACAGAGGGCCAGGCTTTGCTGAGAAACAGCAGGTTATGATTTTTGGCCTAAGAACATAATAGGCTAGAGTCCAGACATCTGCTCAATGGAATATTATCTGGATATAAGGTACAAAAGAATTCAATCTTTTACAAAAGGGGTCCAATTAATATGAAAATCAGGACTGGGTGGGCAAATAAAAAAATTAAATGGCTTAGTGGAATTTTTAGCATTTACATACGATCTGTATGAAAGAATATAGCCATGTACGTGGCCTTATTTCCTGTACTTGCTAAGACATATAGCCTCTGATGAACCAGATTATATGGGCTGAGCCTATATAGTATTTAATTAGGCAAACAGTCATTTACCCAAGGTCCACCTCCATACCTCCAAACGGAAGATCAATTCCAGACTAGCTCCAAGGATGTATGTGAAGACCAAGTAAGTTGGAGAAGGTGGAGGTTGGGGAGGAAAGTTCGAGTGGGAAGGTTATAGTGATCCCGGGTGGTCTGGTGTTTTCTTGAGTCACCTTGGTCCTGAGACTTTGAGGCAGACCATGATAGGGGGGAAAATGGAAAAACAAACCTGAGAGTGTAATTAGGGTTGGCGGGGGGGGCGGGTAAAGAGACTCATTTCATTCAAGATTCGTAGAGCCACTCTAGACTTTAACTCTTAGCACCTATCTGGTTCCAGCGGAACCCTAAGACCAACAGGTCAGTTTCCAAAAGGAATCAAACTCTTAGGTGGGACATAAAATTTCAGGCTGCTCACGTTACTAATTGTTTGTAATGCTGGAGTTACTCAAGAAATGACCTCTGAAATACAGACTCCTATGATGGAAAAGGCCAGAACATAAAAAGATATCCCAACAGAGGAGAAATACCACAGACCAAATTGCAGAGACATTGGATTTCAGTTTCATCAATGGCTGAACGTCTGATGAAGTTCAACCTAGTCAAACTAGCTTGGATCCTCTGGACCCAGTTTATAGTGTCATCTCTGTACAGCTTAGCCAGTTAAGCCGCTAAACCCTGCCCAGAAGACAAATAAATACATTTTGCTTCTTTAGGGTACCAATCTGTATGCCTGGAAAACCTGTCCCTTTTCCAAAACCCTACACCCCAGGTCCCTTGGAAAGTATACCTTTGCCTGATCAGGTTCAGGAATAGTTTTAGGCAGTAAGAGGGTTTCGGGAAGCAATGTTTCACAACGAGACCTTCTTTTCGGAGACAGTGTCAATTTGGAGGGGATTCCTGGGGGCTCTCTAGTGAAATGACAAGGAAGTAAAACTGGGCTGCCACCTCCCTTTCTGAGCAGAGGTTAGTTGGGTTAGAAAGACAGCAAAAAAAAAAAAAATGTCTGACAGATAACAGAGCTGCTGAGGAAATAATGGAGGCACATTCCTCTTCGAACCAGAAAGCGTTAAAATGGACATCAATATTCAAGGAGGAGAAAGTAGTCCTGGGCCAGGGGGCCTCCCAGTAAGCACAGGCACAGCTGAGTTCGTGGTGTAACTCGCCAGAGCCGGGACACTCCTTCCTTCCAACCATTTTATAAAGGAGGCAGTGACAGTGATGGCCGAGGCTGGGCACCCAGGCCATGTTAATTCAGTGGCTTCCAAAAGCCTTACCTGGGGACTCACCAAAGCTAAGAAAGGCAGCTGTTGAACATTTATTCCAGAAAACCCCAGGAAACAAGGAGTCTGGAACCCCTGGACTAACTCCTGCGCCTGGCTGGGAGGAAAATGACCGCTGCTAAGGCTTCGGTGGGGAGTAACGCAAAAGGTGCACTGGGAATGGTCACCCCACTTCTTTCCTTCCTCAGTCTGTCCTCTGCTGCCCTCACAGCCCTCGGGGCAGTAACCACTCTGGGCCAAAGCGACAGGCACAGGATTCTAGATTTTAATAAATAAATAACCTAATATATAGGGTGAGCACGGCGGGTAGCTGACTGGAGAAGCAGCTTGCTGGGTTCTTTTCTGTATAGGAGTGGAGAAAAGGCTTGGAGTTCTATTCCTTAAAACTTCTTCTGGCTTGAGTTACAGGAACTTAATACCTGGAGGGAAAAAGAAAGATGAGACTGTGAGGTTATCAGCTTGTGGGGATGCTGGAACATGAAGAACCTGTCTAGAGGTGTAACAGGGAAGCAGGGACGTTTCTGGAGTGTATGGTGAGGGTAGATCATTGTGGTGCAGTTTCCCATCAGTAAAAATGGCCAGTATTTCTCCACAGAGGTAAAAACCACATCAAGAAGATGATATGAAGAAAGGCAAACTCGGGAAAGAGAAATCTAATGTCTGGACAAAGCCTCAGCGAGTCCTTTGCGGGTGGCAGTGAGGGAGGGTGGGTTTATTTTTCTGAGTCCATGTAAACACGGTGATGACACAAAGACCAATCCCAGTGCAGGAAGCTCTTCACTGCCCAGGCTTCCCTGTTTTCTGGGGAACCCAAGGCACCTGTAGTAATTAGGTTTGAAGGGCCCATTCTTGTTGAGTCCCAGGTACTTGGCCTGCTCATCTGTCAGCTCTGTCAGGTGGGCATCAAAGGTGGGCAGGTGCAGGCTGGCCACATACTCATCTGGAACAGACCACAGAAGCCCAGGTGTAAGCATTCCTGCCTTCCGTGTGGCTATTCTCTCCAGGTTAGGCCTTAAGAAGTTGAAAGGCACCTTCTAATTCTTGGAGCTGAACTGAATATGAAATGCTCAATTTGCTCACTGGCCCTTAGTTCTAAGGAATCTTAGTTCTTGCGCCTCGAGCCCATAACCTTTTCAAAACCATAACCTTTCTTCCTTACAGGCTGTTTTTACCTTGAACTTTTCCTTCTCCTCAGATGAGAAGGGAAGGGAGACATGAGAGCAGTAACAGGACTTTGGGTCTAAAGCAAAGGTTGGGCGAGTGGGGGGACTGATAAATGGGAAGCTCCAACTTTGGTTCTGCCATGCACTCCATACCCTGAGTCACTCAGAAAAACTAACGCTGGTAAATCTGGAAGGAATGACGAGGCATGACACTATAGTGTTTGCTTTGCTGTCAGTAGGCTTAGCTCTCTCATGTGTTTCTGTTCACAGTCTCTTACCCAAATACATATTTTTCAGAACTTTCTGTCATTTCCTATGTATTTGTTTGGTGTCCCTAACTTCATTACATATTCATTCAGAATATGGACCGTTCTCTTTCTTTTATGTCCTTCCAAGGTGTCTAGTCAAGGTAACCCATGTCAACTTCCGACAGCTGCTCTGCATCTAGTGCTAAAGCGAAACGAAACCAGAAGCTGATATATTCCCTGACCTCTGCCTCGGGAGCTTATAAAGCACCTGTATCAGCTCAGGTGCTTGAGGCAGGCTCTTTAAAAATTTAAGACAGTTTAATGTTTCTCTTATACAAAACACCCACATAACTAAACTCTCCATAGAAGCTATTCGGCAGCTTCCCTTTGGCCTGAAACAAAGGGGTGAGAGTTAGAAAGTGTATGTGAAAGTCTTCTTGGTCTGAGAAAAGTCTCGTAGGGGCTATCTGGAATGCAGTAAGTCAGATGTCACAAGGTGGGGGATGATTCCTCTGTCTTGGGGAAAATCTTTTTTTTTCCTTTGGGATTCTTACATATGAGAGAAAATCCTTAAAATTCAAGTAAACTAAACCACAACAAAGTGTCACAACTTCACGGGAGCAACCCGTACGGAAAATGAGGTAAATCTGCTGAGGATGGACCCTAGGAATCACAGCTCCTACTTCACAGGATAAACGTATCCTCCCCCTTATTCTTAAGCAATATAATGCCCCCAAACTTCACTCACCATCTGACTCTGAACTACTTTGGCAAGGATGGGGATGGAAGAACACACGCTTACCCATTTTCTTGGGCAACAGGTAGACATCTTGCTTATAGCGACCCTCCGGAGCATTGTAAAGCTCTATCAAGGCGAGAGCCTGGAAAAGCAGACAGATGGATGCTGACGTGCCATTCACAGCAATCCAGGCCATATGGAGTGAAACCCTGATGGTCTTATGACCCGCGCCAGCCCGCTGCTTTCCCACTCTGCGGGTCTTACCTGAGTAGTAGCGGTAATTGAGAGCACAAATGTAGGCACTGTGGAGCAGCTTAGGTTCAGCAGACGGCCCTAGAGAGCAAGGATTCAGACCCAAACTGGTTAGGACAGTCTCGAGCCTCTGAGGAGTGAGGGAGGAGCATGGCTGCCAGTCTCCAAATACTTCCCAACTAACACTGCTGGACAAAAAGCAGGTGCTTGATAAATAAAAATTAACTGACTGACATTTAAGTGAAACCATAGAAAGTTCTGGAAAATCTGATAAAGGTACTAGACAAAAGATCTCTGGGATTATGTACCAAGAATAGAGATGGTCACATGATACTGAGGCTCAGGCTATGGAAGAGTGCATCTATCTGAATTTCCTACTTTCTCCAGCAGGATATTCTCCTTGTAAGGTATTGGCAGTCCTTTGAAAGACTATCCTCAACGATGATGTAGTCAAATTCAGGGGCAATCTCTCCAGGTCGGGAGGGAAGAGTTTTTTGGATTTAAGGAAGCTGTGATGATTTTTGTGCTCCTTCCTCAGTTTGGTTCTCCTACATTCACGGGCAGTATTGCATGTTGAGCGGATGATTCAGAGACTAGAAGAGCCAGAAACTGCCCCCAATGCCATCTTTTCCTACTTCATTCCCTAGGAAACTTGACAACTTTCTTTGCTCAATCAAAGGAATCAAAAACAACTGGCCCTTGCTTTTGTCACCAAAATTACTAGATGGGACCTTCCAGAGCAACTAGAAATAAATCACCAGACAATGGGCTGACATCAAAGCAATTAATGAATATTTAACAACCTGTCCTCTGCCCCCCAGGACAACTCCTTTCTTGTGAGGAAATAATTCGGTCCCTTTACAGATGCTGTGAAGTGTGTGAGAAGGTAAGATAAGGGGAGGAACAGTGCAGAGAACAGGGAGGATACACAAACATAAACGCAAGGGCCCTAGGTGAAGACAGTACCTATTTTACATTTGCAAATTCAGCTTCTTTAATTTAAACTGAAAAGGGAAAAAAAAGACAAACTCAAAATTTGAGAAAAGTATTATTCTCCTCCTTGTTGTTTTGGCATCTTTCCCTAAAGAGGAGAAAGTGTCCAGGTAAAAACAAGGGGCATCGTTAGAGCCATCAGGAATTTGGGACCAGGGAAGAGAAGCTTTCAAGAAAGGAAAAGTGGCCAAACATTGCCATAAAAGGCCATGTGGAATGAAAGTCAAGACTAAGTCTGAGCCAGAAGAAGCCAGAAGAGGGAACTATCAATCACAGAACCAGGACGGAGCTGAGCACGTCCCACCGTGCGTGTCGGGCTCCGTGCAGGAGAATGGACACTCAAAATCAGGGAAGCCATCAGCAAAGACACGACCCACCTGCCGCTTGCCTAAGATAGTCTTAGTTACAGCCAGGAATGTCTACTTTGTGCCTGCTGATTAAATCATCCCACAAGAGACATTATCTCTTTGTAAGCATGACTCCGAGTGGCACTGGTTCTATTCATTAATTTCTTTTACAGTAATAGTCATTACCTGACTCAGCCTGTAGAGTGACAGAGAGAAACAGGATAATTGGTGAAAAGTGGGGAACCAAAATAGTTTCTTAACTGTCAAGTGAAAATGAAAAGACCTTTCACAGTTAGACACAAAATCCATCGGTGAAGTAGTTAAGCTTATGCTTAGGAGGCGTTGAACAATACGAGAGGGCACGAGGAAAGGGGGATCTGGGCATCGCAGTCTCCCGTCAGGGCCGCATCTCTCTCCCCAGCCTCAGGTCTTACCTCTGCCAGCAGTACTATCCTCTTGCCATCAGGCCATATCACGTGGTCAACTTGGGATCTCACTCGCTCCCAGGTCAGTTCCGGTGTCCGCAGACTCGCCTGGAATACACACAGCAAGCACACCGTCAGCCATGCCAGGCCCCACTTTGTGGACGGAAAGATGTTGAAGGGAGCCATGTCAAATAGCAAGTTGAAAGGAGCAACCAACATGCCAGATGGAGAATACCTGTCCTGGGTTGGTTAGGACTGTTCCATTTCAGGATATCTAATCTTAGGCCCAGCCAGGGAGAGATCACTCAGGATGGCATTCCACAACATATACAGTACTCCCACTCTCTGCTGAGCACAGTAAAAGGTGCTATGGGAAATACAAAAGAAACCAAAGACATGGTTTCTGCCTTCAAAAAGCTCTTATTTTGGTTGGGGATGCAAAACAATACATATGTGAGAGGGGAAAAGCCTTTAAGATACTTACAAAGCAACATGCAAACAAGTGCAAATTAATACAGTGCAAACTGAACAGCTAAGTGCCGAGGAGACACGCACACAGAGAGGATCCGGGCTGAGTGAGATTAGTCAGAAAAGGCCGAACTTCCTGAACGTAGCATGCTGGGGCCCAAGTCCTGCCCTCACGACCCAGTGTCCCGGTTTCTACCTTCTTATCGATGGTGGTTCACCCTAAAGTTACAGAAGCTTTCTGACCTAAGTGCGAATGTGAAGTAGCTTTTAGAGAAATGCTTAATGGTAGAGTAAAGCTCCCAGTGGCTCACCCTCCTTCCATTTCTGTACATTGTATATTCCGAGAACAAGAGGAGAAATGTTAAGTGTATTAACAGCAGCAATCAAGTAACAGTCACAGGGTTTAGACGGAAGACAACTTTCTTCTTCCAACTGGCAATGCCTAAAATAGAAAGGGAATCCATCGTCTAAGACTCCCTATTGCCTCAAGCTGGTAAAGTTGAGAAGTTCTGCCAAAGAGCTGTTTTCAGACAAATAAAGAGAAATACTTCAGATATACAGTAATTATTTACTAAGTGCACACTGTATTCTAGGCACTGCAGTAAAGGATGAGGTGACCGATAATGCTGTAGATTCCTCTACTGGGCTGTGGGCTATTTATAGATAGGGCTGTATCTTCTTTTCAGTATCAGCCTAGTGGGAAAGACAGACATATAATGATATTTCAGTGTATTCAAGACTGTATTAATGGTCTGGTCCATTCATCAGGTAGATGGGAAATAAATTTCTCAAGATGTCAGTTTCATAAATTGGTTACCTTTCTAGCAGGCAATTTGGCAGTAGCTAACAAAATTTTGTATGTACCTAATCCCTGACCAATCTTTTTTTTTCTTTTTTTTCCCACCCTGCCACCCAGCCCTGACCAATCTTTTAAGGCTCTCTATCCTATAGAAATATTTCCTCAAGTTCAGAAGTATAAGTGCCCAAGAATGTTCATCCAGTGTTATTTATAATAAAAAAAATGTAAATCAACAAGTAAATGGCTAATGAGGATAATTTCATATCATGGAATATCATGCAATTACTTTTTTAAAAAGAGTGTATCTATATGTATTAACATGAAAAACATTCCTTGTTGCTAAGTGAAAAATAAAATCTAGTTGCAGAATAATAATTTCAATTACGTAAATTTTTACTTACTATAAACATATTTACATTGTTTGAAATTTTAAGCTAAACAGGTATTACTTTAAAATTACAATTTTAAAAAGAAATTTTATAAACAAACACTGTAAATAGAGTTACAAAGAAAGGTAAGTAAGCAGATAATTTTGGGAAGTTAGGCATATACAAGGTAAACCCCTTACTTAGCCTTTCGAAATATCATCACGGAAGGCATTAACCACAAAGAGCCCAGAGATACTCCTGGGTGACACTGGTGACATTTACTGAGATGACGGGACTTTAAAGTACTTCAAGTTCTTAGTGTCTCACACTCCTAAACTTCTAGGAAACAAGCAATGTTGGTGACTGGGAATAAAGAGCTATTCCATGATTAACAAGAAAGTATTTCTAATACATATTTTCTTAGAAAGAATTGCTAATACCTGTCTTAGAAAGTATTTCCTGAGAAAAAAGATATGGTGGAATCAAGGGAAGCACACTTCTTATGACATCACAAAATGCTTAGCGTAGAGGCAGCTCACAGGCGCACAGAAATGGCTGTGCTGAAGCAGAAGACCTGAGGGTCAGTTTAAAAATGGCGTTGAAAGAGCTGTCCCTGCAGCTCCAACAACCCATTTGTGTCTATCTGGCAGTCACACTGCTCACAAGAAAGGTTTCCTGTGGCTCAGCACAGCTTTATAAGAATTTCTCTTAAAGGCATCCAATTGTCTTTACTGTGGATTTATAATTGCTAAACAATCTACCAGGAAAAAGCTCCCCAATGCAGACTACGTCGTTCCCAAACTAGGTATATGTCCCATTGTAAAGGAGCCAGTTACTGTGCTTGCACAAGTTGGTAGTACATGGTTTTGAACAATGCACATCAGTTTTTTGGGGGAGAACACTGTGGTTCTGGTACTGCTAAGCATGGAGTCAATACCAAGTCTCAGGTTGCAATTCTTTGGCTGACAAAAACTTTTAAAGCCTGTGTACATCCTAGTTTAACCACTTGAATTGCGAAGCTTACAGCCGCACAGACCTTCTACGTGATGCACGAGGGTAAGCAGGTCTGCTTCCAAGGGAGAGGATTTATGTGTAAGACATGGCCAAAAGGCAACTAAGAGCACAGTCCCTGTCACAAGTTCCCAAAGTATTCACAGAATTAATATTCCTCAGAAACAAATGCAGCTTTCTAAATGACCAATTTTTGATGAGCTAGCTATTTAGTCCTAAAAATGCAAGTTAACATCTCAAGGCTGGGTAAAATTATAAATTTCTACTTAGGAAAAAAAAAACACCAAACCGTAAACTTTTGAATAGTAAAAGTATCTGGAAAGCCCGGGCTGGTGGCTCAGTGAGTTGGAGCACCCATTCCGTACACCAAAAGGTTGAGGATTCCATTCCGGGTCAGGGCACGTACCTAAGTTGTGGGTCTGAGTCCTGATTAGGATGCATATGGGAGGCAGCGGATCAATGTTTCTCCCTCTCTCTAAAATCAATAAACACCATCCTCGGGTGAGGATGAAAATAAAAATCTGAGTAAGAACTTACCAATTTATGCTCCTTCGCAGTTTCACTGAGTCGACTTACAGTGATTCTCCACTGTCTTTCTCACACGCTACACCTGATCTATTTAATAAATCCCATTGATCCTACCTTCACAAGAGACACTACTTACCACCGTCACTGCTCACCCATCTGATCCAAGCTACCGACTTCTATCGTTGGAAATACTGAAAGAGCCTCCTGTTGTCCCTATCACTGCCCAAGCTCCAGACATGTTTTCTTTATGTAACAGCCAGAGTAATCTTTTAAAACATAAGTCAGGGAACTTCTGCTCAAGATGGTCATGTAGGTAAACGTGGTACTCACCTCCTCCTACAACCACATCGAAATTACCACTAAACTACAGAACAACCATCATTCAGAACCACCTGAAATTGCGCTCAATGGAAGTCTTCCAAGTAAGGAATTTAAAGAAGAAGGCATACTGAGACTTGTGTGACGGAGGGGTGGAGCCCACACCCAACATGTGGTATATAAATTCCAAAAGGATTTCTTGGCTGTGGAGTTCCCCTTGAGGAATGGAGAGGGGTCCCAGTCACACACCAGGCCCCCCAGCCCAAGGTCCCAGTGCTGGAAAGAGCAGTACACCTCTAACTTCTGGCTGTAAAAACAACCTTTGCAGGTCAGAAGGGATTGGCAAGAAAAATTAAAGCAAGGACCTACAACCAAGATTATTCTACCCAGCAAAGCTATCATTTAGAATCGAAGGACAGATAAAGAGCTTCCCAGAAAAGAAAAAGTTAAAGGAGTTCGTCACCACCAAACCAGTATTATATGAAATGTTAAAGGGTCTTCTTTAAGAAGAAGAAGGAAAAAAAGATAAAAATATGAACAATAAAGCCCTGGCCAGGTAGCTCAGCTGGTTAGAGCATCATCCCAATACACCAGGGTTGCAGGTTCAGTCATGGTCAGGGCACACACAAGGGTCAACCAACGAATGCATAAATAAGTGGAACAACAAACCAATCTCTCTCTCAAATTAATAAATAAAAAAGGACAATAAAATGGCAACAAGTACATATCTATCAACAGGTAAATTTAAAAAAACAAAACAAATTAATAAGAAGAACAGAAGCAGACTCATAGACAGAACATTTTGACAGGTGCCAGATGGGAGGGGGTTTGAGGGGTGGGTGAAAGAAGTGAAGAAATGAAGAAGTACAAATTGGGCCTTGGTTGGTGTAGCTTAGTGGATTGAGTGTGGGCTGCGAACCAAAGGGTTCCCAATTCAATTCCCAGTCAAGGCACATGTCAGGGTTGTGGGCCAGGTCCCCAGTGGGGGCCACGTGAGAGGCAACCACACACTGACATTTCTCTCTTTCTCCCTCCCCCCTCTCTAAAAATAAATAAATAAAATATTTTAATAAAAGTACAAATTGGCTGTTACAGAATAGTAATGGGGATATAAAGTAAGCACAGGGAATATAATCAATAATATTCTAATAACTATGAATGGTGCCAGATTGGGTGCAAGACTGATTGGGATGATCACTTAGTAAGTTATATATTGTCTAATCACTGGGGTGTACACCTGAAACTAATATAATAATGTATGTCAACTGTAGTTGAAAATATAAAATGGTAAGAAAATAGTACTTGAACAATTTAAAAAAATTTACAAAAAAAAGAAAATAAATAAAACATAAGTCAGATTTTATCAGTCACCTGTTCAAAACCATCCAATGGCTTCCCTTGTACCCAGAGTAAAACCCAAAGTCCTAACACGGCCTACCGAGCTCCACATAACACGCACTCCTTGAGCTGTCTCCCACCCCATCCCCTGGCCCACTCTGTTCCTGCCAACACAGCCTCCTTTCCGTTCCTCAAACACGTTAAGCACTTTCTGCCTCAGGGTCTTTCACTCGCCAGTCTCTCAGAATAGAAGGCTCAGAGGGCGTGCTCCTGCAGTTCATTCAGGTTTTTCTTCAAATGCCATCTCAAAAAGACATTCCTTGATCACCCTAACTAAAACAGCAACCCCAGTGTCTTCACCTTGCTGTTCTTCTTCAACATGAGGCACTAACTGACAAGAACTGTCCATTTATTTATTATCTGCCCCCTACATTAGAATATAAAGGTCAGGACAGCAAGCATATTGTTATTCACTGCTATTCTTTAGACAAGCACTCGGCACAGGGCAGAGCAAGTATTCAATACAAACTGGCTAAGTGGGGAATGAACATTCTGGTTTCAATTATTAGTTAGTTAAGTTTGCTATTACCTTACATTTTATTTTATATGCCCCATGACACTACCATCAAAGGTTGAGTAACTTAATTTTTCTAAAGCTCTTCTGAGCATCTCCCTCTCTGGACTACTTGGTTCAGTCATGTACTTTCTAAGAAAAGCACAAAAGGAACTGAGAGATGGCCTTTGGCTGGTGTCCCTGGCAGACACTGGGCTACCTAGCAATAATGCAAAACTCGGCCTAATTTCATCATAGAAGCCAGAGCGATCCTCTAAAAAGAAAAGCCATCCTTTAAAAACAGAAGTGAGATTGTTATAAATCCTATGAGAGCTCCCTATTTCTCTCAGAATATAATCAGGAGTTCTTACAAAGAGACCTTACAATGTCTGGCTCATTACTTCTCTGACCTCATCCTGAGATATCCCTTGTGTCTGGGCTGCCTTCAGAGGAGAGATTACCTTTATAATTTGAAGTAAATCTAGAAATCATGAGAAGGTAATAGCACAACATGCAGGAGAACAAATAAAAAAAAACAGCCTAGAAGTAAAAAATCCTAAATTTTGTGTTCTAATTTCATTTTTGAATCAAAGCAATGACTAAATAATGTACTTAACTTCTTAGTTTCCCGAACTGAAAGTCAAGGGTAAGAATAATGTCCCATGGGGTGGTCAAGAGGATGAAATGAGATAAAGTAAAAATATAAAAATATATAATTGTATTTGGAATTATTTTTATTTCAGTGCTTGAGAGTTTAGAAGGGGGAAAATTCCTTCCCCTTTCCCTTAATCAGAAAGTTTCTCATTAGGGCTTAGAGTAGGACTACTTTCCTTAAGCTTTTCCCATGGGCTCCATAAGCAGATTAATCCAGAAAAGTACAAGCATGAGCTAGACAGTTTAGAAATATTAATATCTTAGACTATTTACTAAAGGGCAGTATGACATGTAAGTGAAACTTAACAACAACTGCAAAAAGAACTAAGTGATTCATTATAAGCAAAATATCACGGTAGAACAGAGTCATGGAGCCATGCCACTCAGAAACCTCAAGGGCAGAAACAGGCTTTGGTAGGTTGTCCAGCTATTTTTATAAATAGAAGAACAGAGCAGAGTTAAAGAGAGAAACCATTCAAAACAGATACTATGAGAAACCATCTAAAATAGATATCACCCAACAGGCTCTCAGTGGATGAGCTGATCCTTACCTGGCAATGCTGAAGCTCAACCAGAGCAGCCCTCAGTGGAGGTAAAAGCATGCTTTGCTTGAGCCATTTACCCAGAGAGAAACACAGTTGTGCCAGAAAAATGCCACAAAAGTTTAAAACCAGAGTGAAAGCCACAATAAGAGATACTTTGGTAAGTCTGAAAAGAAATCAATAACACTTCTATTAACTATTACTTGGGCAACTTAGTTGGACCAAGTGTTATGTTGGATTGAAAAGTTTTAGGGTGAATATAATCAAATTAGAGGACCAAAGTGATATATTTTCCAGGTTTGAGGAATACGAGGAACATGTGCCACTGCGTTGGCTGTGGCACCTACAGGTCCAATTACTATACGTTTGGAAAACAGTCCAGAGGACACTGAACCCAGTGAAAGAGGGAGAGAGAGAAAAGAAACCAGAGGGTTCGCCAGACACAGTCAAACGTAAGCCGTGTTCTCATTCCAGCCCATTGATTTCACTCCCTGGACTTACTTCCTTAAACCAACCTACTTATCTCACTTTTATGGTTAAGATTAAACATCCCCAAGATACTGACTACCATTTTATAACAACTAACTCACATTTATTATACCCTTTTTGTGGTTTTGAATTTACACAGCTGACTCTTAAACATAAAGATAAAATGTCTTACAGTGTAAGTAGGTATCAAGCTTGGGTGGAAGACAACAATCATTTAAAATGATCACATTGAGACAAAGAAGCTTTATATTATCCACAAGCACAGATCATAGAGCTAGTAAGTGAACAGACTGTGGTCGGCTCTGCCGGGACAGGCACATTTAGGAGGGCTGGTGACCCTGTTTCTTCCAGTTTTTTTTTTTTGGCAAGGAGAAAAGAAAAAGCCCCCAGTGATGAGTCGCTTAATCTTACCACGTCAATCTCCGTGTTGGAATGTCCCATGTTACAAACAATGCAGCTATTCTTCATGCGGTCCAAGTGCTCTCTGGTTACTACATTCTTGTTACCTTAAAAACAGAAGAGACAGCCACGTGAGAAGGGATGAAGCTGGACCCCTACCTCACACCACATGCACAGTTTAACTCGAAGTGGATCAGAGGCCTAAACATAAGAGCCCAAACGAAAACTCTTAGCAAAACATGGGAATAAATCTTTCTAACCTTGAGTTAGCCAATGGTTTCTTAGATGTAACATCTAAAGCACAAGAACCAAAAGAACAAACCAACCGAACCACACTGAAATGAAAACTTTTGTGCTACAAATAATACCACCAAGAGAGTGAAAAGACAACACACAGAACAGGACAAATATTTGCAAATCATATACCAGATAAGGAACTTGTATACCAAATTTGTAAAGAATTCTTAGGTAACTCAATGAAATGACAACCCAATTTAAAAATGAACAAATGCCCTGACTGGTGTGGCTCAGTGGGTTGGGCATCTTCCCACAAACCAAAAGGTCACCAGTTCAATCCCTGGTCAGAGCACATGTCTGGGCTGCAGGCCAGGTCTCTGGGTGGAGGGGTGCAAGAGGCAGCCAGTTGATGTTTCCCTCAAACATCAATATTTCTCTCCCTCCCTCTCTCCCTCCCTTCGCTTCTCTGTAAAAATAAATAAAATCTTTAAAAAAATTGAGTGAATGACCTATACAGACATTTCTTTAAAGATGCTTATTAGCATCATCAGGGAAGTGCACACCAAAGCCACAGTGAGACACCGCTTCACGCCTGCTGGGACAGCACTAGCAAAAGACAAACATCAACAACTATTGGCAAGGATGTGAAGAAACTACAGTTCTCATGCGTAAAATGGGGGGGTCGCTTTAGAAAAGTCTGGAGATGCCTCAAAATGTTAAAAGCAGAGTTACCATATGATCCAGCAGTTCCACCTGAAGGTATATACCCAAGAAAACTGAAAACATGTTCACAGAAAAACTTTCACACAGGGTTCACAGCGGCATTATTCTTTTTCTCAATTACATTCAATATTATTTTGTATTTGTTTCAGGTGTACAGGATAGTGGTTAGACAACTAAGTATGTTACAAAGGGGTCTCCCCAACTATGGATGGCATCATATACTGTTATTACAATATTACTGACTATATGCCCTATGCTGTACTTTACATCCCTGTGACTATTCTGTGACTACCAATTTGTACCTCTTAATCCCTTCACCTTTTCCACCCAGTCCCCCAACTCCCTCCCCTCTGTCAACCATCAGTCTGTCCTTTGTATCTATAAGTCTGCTTCTATTTTGTTTGTTCATCTGTTTTGCTCTTTAGATTCCACATATACAATAAGTGAAATCATATGGTTATTTGTCTTTCTCTGTCTGACTTCACTTAGCATAATACTCTCTAGGTCCATTCATGCTGAAGCAAATGATAAGACTTCATATTTTTTATAGCTGAATAATATATGTATATATGTACCACAACTTTGTTATCCACTCGTGTATTAATGGGCACTTGGGTTGCTTGCATATCTTGGCTATTGTATATAATGTTGCAATAAACATAGGGGTGCATATATTCTTTTGAATTAGTGTTTGTGGTTTCTACAGATATATACCCAGAACTGGAATTGTTGGGTCACAAGGCAGATCCATTTTTAAGTTTTTGAGGAACCTCCCTCCGTAATGCTTTCCACAGCGACAGCATTCTTCTTAATAGCCTAAAAGTGAAGATGACTCAAGTGTCCATCAACTGATAAATGGATAAATAAAATCTGGTATAGTATATCCTTAAAGTGGAATAGTATTCAGCACTAAAAAGAAATGAAATATTATACATTTGAAATATTATACATCATATTATACAATATGAACATTATGTTGAATTTAAAAAAAGACAGTCACAAAAGACCACATAGTGTATGATTCATATCACATCATACTGTATGATGTGTGACCACATACTGTATGAAATGTCTAAAATAGGCAAATCTATACAGACAGAGAGATGAATGGTTGCCTAGGGCTGAGGGAAGTTAGAAGGCAGAATGAGAAGTGACTGCTCATAGTATAAGGTTTCTTTTGGGGGTGATGAAAATGTTCTGGAAATAAAAAATAGACTGCTTTTAAGCCACACACACACACACACACACACACACACACACACACACACACAATCACTGGCCCTGCCTGGGTGGCTCAGTTGGTTGGAGCATTGGCCTGTACACCAAAAGGCTGCGTGCGGGTTTGATTCCCAGTCAGGGCACATATCAAGGCTGGTTGGGGCACATGGGAAAGGCAACCCATTGGTGTTTCTCTCTCACACAGATATTTCTTTCTCTTTCTCTCTTTCTCTCTCAAAATCAGTAATAAAATATTCTTGGGTGAGGGTTAAAAAATAATAAGTAAATCACTGAAGAGTACACAGGGTGAATTTTTTGATATGTGGATTATATCTCAATAAAAAAATTAGGTTGTGGTGATGGTTGTATGAGACTATGAATTTGGTAAAAAACATTAAACTATAAACTCAAGTGGGTGAAATCTATGGTATGTGAATTAGATCTCAATAAAACCTATTTTAAAAATAGATTAATGAATTGATGGGAAGCAAGAACAGTTTCTTGTGATCCCTCTTCTCTGCCCCCAGAACTTCCTGAGCCTACATATATACTGTTATTCTTAAATGTTCTAATTTTCTTCCTCTAACATGTAATTATAAAAGAAAACTGATGTTCCAACAGTTTGTGGTTCTACCATAAAGTTAAAATCTCAGTCCAAGAAAGCTAGCCATTTCTGCAAAATCCTCCCTATAACTCAAAATCTACCTCTTTGGAATGAATACAGCTGCCTCTCCTACTTTCTGTAACTGTGAAGAATCTTGCTCTGCCCTTGCTTTAATTACAGGGACTAGAAAGAAACATATATTAGTTTGGAAGTAAAATTAAAAAATCAAACGTACAAATGTAAGATCTGGCTTCCCAAATAAAACTCATCTCTAGCCATCTCTTTGGTGGTTAAAAATGGATGGAGACACGGAACAAAAAGATGGGGAGAAAACTTCCTCTAGGATTGACCTGAAGGTATGCTTCTGGTCAGAGTTCCAAAGAGACAGGAAGATGTGAAAGGCTGACTGGTTTTGTGGGCTATACGATCTCTGGCTTTCAGAGTTTGGTGTTGTGTGGAACATTTTCAGTCGTTTTTCACTTGTTCCATAAAAGCGCTCCCAAGTGCCATCCCACTTTATGTGTTATAATCATACCTGTACAGGTAATAACAATATCCACTTGTCGGATGACCTCATTCAATTTCACCAGTCGAAATCCATCCATACTGTAGAAATAAAACATGATCGATTAACCTAAGTAGACAGCTTGGGAGCTTTTTGCCACAGAACCTCAAAAGCTATTACCAATGCTTTAGTACCTACACTGTCACTTCTTGATATAGCTGAACTATATTTAGCAGCGAAGAGTTCAAATCAGTTCATATAGGACAGAAATAAAAGGCCCTTTCACATCACTGGAACCTAATTCTTCTTGAAAATATGGAGAAAGCGTTAACCACGAGATTCCCCAATCAAGTTTAAGTGCCATTCTACCACTGAACCTACTCCCCACAGAAACTGGTCTCCCCAAGATCATTAATGATCTCCTGAATGCCAAAGTGAAATTGTTTAGACTCTTACATGGTTTGATTTCCTTTGCTACATTTAACATTCTTTGCCTTCTTAAATCACTATACTCCTTGCAGCTATGACACTGTTTTTCCTACTTCTCTGATTGCTCCTTCTCAGTCTGTCAATCTTTAAATGTTGGTGCCATGTAGGGTACCCTTTTCTCTAGTCTTTTTTTTAAATCCTCACCCGAGGATATGTTTACTGATTTATTTAGACAGAGAGAAACATTGATGTGAGGGATAAACACTGACTGGTTGCCTCCCCTACACTCCCTGACCCTGCAACCTGGGTATGTGCCCTTTTGGGGTATGGGATGATGCTCCAACCAACTGAGAAACCGGGCTTGGGCCTCTTTCCTCTATTCTTTCAGCACTTCCCGATACCTTTTCCTCGCCTATAAATGACCCCTCACAGGTGGCCGACTTGTGCATCTGTATCTTTAGCTTGGATCTCTCCAAAGCTTCGGAGCCATGGATTAAAATTATCTACTGGATAGCTGTTCTTGGATGTCCCATAAGGATCTCAAACTGTGTTTGAGAAGAAACTCATTATCTTCTCCATACTCCCAACCCTATCTATTTCTTCTTCTATATTTCCTATATTGATTATTAACATTATTATTCACCCAACTTCACAAGCCAAATAAACTAGAATGTCTGAGCCTACTGACTCTTCCTAACTGAAGCTGTCACCAAATCTGGTTGATTCTTTTTCCTGAATTCCTTAAAATCCTTGACTCTGTCCGTTCTTCTCCATACATATTGGCCTTGCTTACGTTCAGGCTTTATTTTTTTTGTCTATATTACTACAGTAGCTGCTGGCCCAGTCTCATCACTTCCAGGTTTATGCCTCTCTAATTAATTTTGTAGCATGATTTCCCTCAATGCAATTTGGATCATGTCACTGCCTTGTTTGAAAGACTTTAGCGAGATTGCCTGCTCTCAGGATAATACCCAAATACTTACACTGATATATGATTATACTGACATATTCCTACCTCAGATATTATACTCCTCCCAAATTTATCCAAGCAGCCGACTACATTAAAACACTTCAAGCTTCTTAAATATACTGTGCTCTCGCCTTCCTTGGTGATTGGAATTTATTTCCAAACTAAGAAATCAGTTACACAAGTTTCAAGACTGTACTGACCCCCTTCGATGCTGCCCCCTTGCTTGTTTGTTAGAGATTTCTCCTTTGTGCTCCTGAAAGGGCACGTGCTGGTTACCTTCGTCACAGCACTTACTGCACCGCACAGTGGTCACTCTCGTATTTGTCCTGTCTCATTCATTTGTTCATCTCATTCATCCCTCCCAGAGCACAGTATCTAATGCATAGTAAGTGAATCAGTTCATGTGTAGAATTTGAATCAGCATCTCAATCAGTATTAAAGCAAGTTCAGGTTTCTCTAGCGAATCCTGAAAGTACTAGAATAGTGTGCTGGATCCCTGGCTCAAGAAGGTTAACTCTGATGGGGAAATCTGTGAGTTTATGGCTAGGACGTATGAGGAATGGTAGGACAGGGAGAAATGGTTATGGTAAAATCTTTATGCCATGCCTCATCTATCCTGGGTGCTTTCCTCTGGGGGGTTAATGGTACAGATCGGGGGGGTTACCCAGGCTACAGACACTGGGGCTTTGCAGTAGCTTTCAGGGACAGTGGTCTCTCCATCCTGTTGAGGATGAAGAGACAATTTTAATAATAGCTACCATTCAGTGAACATTTACTATGTGGCAGCAGGGCTGTACTTTATATAATGATATGATTATTATATATGTTTATGCATTATAACATAACTATATAATTATGTTAACTTTCACAACTCTTTGAGGTACATAAGAGTACCCACATTTTACAGATGGGAAAGAAACTCTTCTCTTTTTATAACTTTTACTTTTGGAATCATTTCAAACTTAAGAATTATAAGAATACAGCCCTGGCTGGTATGGTTCAGTGGATTGAGTGCTGACCTCCAAACCAAAGGGTTGCTGGTTCGATTCCCAGTCAGGGCACATGCCTGGATTGTGGACCAGGTCCCCAGTGGGGGACGCATGAAAGGCAACCACACACTGATGTTTCTCTCCCTTCCTTTCTCCCTCCCTTCCCTCTGAAAATAAATAAAATCTTAAAAAAAATACTACAAACAACTCCCACATACCCTTCACTCAGTTAACAGATTTCACCCTTAACCTGGATTTGTCTGGTGTGTCCTCCTGATCAGATTTAGGCCATACATTCTGGGGAGGACTGTTATAGAGGTACCCTTTCAGTGCCTCATATGAGCAAGGATCTGGCACCAGCCTGACTCTTTTTGGGTCATTTTTCACAGGGAGAAGGATTATACATGAAGAAGCTAAGGGGCTACTTGTTCCCTGGGTCAAGGCTAGGGCTATTTCCATAGGAATTCTAAATTTTAGCCTCTCTGATAGTCTTTGTTCTCTCTGAGCAGAGCTCCTGGATGGCTGAAAAACAGACGTGTACAATTAATGGCAGCCTCTTTCAGGGTCTAGGCCCCTCTAAGTTAAACTGTGGAGTTAACCAGGCCATTCTCTGGAGGTGGCTACAAGGTCACACGTTAGACAGTGGTGTGGAGGAGAAAGCAAGTCTCCTTTTGCATGCTTACCAGGCTTGAAGAGCACAGATGGGGTCGATCTCAGTCACATACACAATGGAGCCCATGGCTTTTAAGGCAGCACAGCACCCCTTCCCCACCTGAAAAGGGGAGAAAGCACACATAATAAGGAAAGTCAACGAGAAAACAGTTTCTCAAAGCTTCTGGTAAAGCGTACCCCACTTGACGCCCCCAAAGGAATTTCAATGAATAGATTCATGCGTGGGGAGAAATAAGACAAACAAATAAATGAATGCAGTTCATACAAAACTCCCAGCCCTGCTTAGCACATGCATGTGCATAAGAAACACCCACTCTCGTGATTTATAATCAAAACACAAGCTAAAAGAACATCAGAAACTGGAACAGTCAGAAAATCAACTTAAGAAAAAAATGGCAAAAATGCAAAGGGAAAAAGAAACATTTTATTTTAACCAGAGAGTCTCCAAAGTGACTGCCCCCTACCCCACATCTAAAGTGGTATATAGGACTTCTGGCTAAGATGGAGGCATAGGTAGACACACTATGCCTCCTCACACAACCAAATTAAGGACAACAAAAATTTAGAAACAAACAAAAAAACCCCAACCAGAACTGAGAGAAAATTGAACTGTATGGAAGTCCGACAACCAAGGAGTTAGACATATTCATACATACAGTCCGGTAGGAGGGTTGGAGACAGGCGCTGGGCAAAGAGGGGTCACAGCAAGAAAAAAAAAGCAGTGGCTGACGGGTCCAGGCGCACAGGCAGTGGCTGGCAGACCCAGTGAGGTGTGCAGGGTGGCTGGCTGACTGAGTGGTCCCACATTTGTGTGCAGACAAACCAGGTGAAGCTGGGGAGCGAGACAGACTGCGCAGCCCAGGGTCCCAGCGCGGGGAAATAAAGCCTCAAAACACCAACTGAAAACACCTGTGGAAGTTGAGGCACCAGGAGAGACTCCCAGCCTCACAGGCGAGTTCCTTGGAGAGACCCACAGGGTCCTAGAGTGTATACAAGCCCACCCACATGGGAATCAGCACCAGACGGGCACAATTTGCCTGTGGGAAGTGACGAAAGGGACTGAAATCCGAGAGAGATTGGAGCAAGGGCCATCATTCCCTCAGACCCTGCCCTCAAACACAGCATCACAACCCAGCAAGTGGGGTGCCCCGCCCTGGTGAACACCTAAGGTTCCACCCCTCATATGTAATAGGTGCCACAAGACGGAAAAAAAAAAAAAGGCCCAAACAGAAGAACAGATCAAAGCCCCAGAACAAATACTTTTAAGCGATGAAGAGATAGCCAACCTATCAGATGCACAGTTCAAAGCACTGGTGATCAGGATGCTCACAGAATTGGTTGATTTTGGTTGCAAATTACATGAAAAAATGAAGGCTACAATAAGTGAAATGAGGGAAAATACACAGGGAACCAATAGTGATGGGAAGGAAACTGGGACTCAGATCAACCATGTGGAGCAGAAGGAAGAAACAAACAACCAAATAGAAAAGAAGGAAGAAACAAGAATTCAAAAAAATGAGGAGAGGCTTAGGAATTGCCAGGACATCTTGAAATGTTCCAACATACCAGAAGGATACCAGAAGGAGAAGAGGAAGAGCAACAAGTGGAAAAGTTATTTGAACAAATAATAAAGGAGAACTTCCCCTATCTGGCAAAGGAAATAGACTTCCAGGAAGTCCAGGAAGCTCAGAGAGTCTCAAAGAAGTTGGACCCAAGGAGGAACACACCAAGGCATGTCATAATTACATTACTCGAGATTAAAATGAAGGAGAGAATCCTAGAAGCAGCAAGAGATAAGGGGACAGTAACCTACAAAGGAGTTCCCATAAGACTGTCAGCTGATTTCTCAAAAGAGACCTTGCAGGCAAGAAGGGGCTGGAAAGAAGTATTCCAAGTCATGAAAGGCAAGGACCTCCATCCAAGATTACTCTACCCAGCAAAGCTTTCATTTAGAATGGAAGGGCAGATAAAGTGCTTCTCAGATAAGGTCAAGTTAAAGCAGTACATAATCACCAAGCCCTTATTATATGAAATGTTAAAGGGACTTATCTAAGAAAAAGAAGATAAAAAACATGTACAATAAAATGACAGCAAACTCACAATTATTAACAACCACACCTAAAACAAAAACACAAGCAAACTAAGCAAACAACTAGAACAGGAACAGAACCACAGAAATGGAGATCCCATGGAGGGTTAGCAACAGGGGAGTGGGAGGAGAGAAGGGGAAAAGGTACAGAGAGTAAGTGGCATAGATGGTAGGTAGAAAATAGACAGGGGGAGGGCAAGAATAGTATGGGAAATGTAGAAGCTAAAGAACTTATGACACATGGACATAAACTAAAGGGGGGGACTGTGGGTGGGAAGGGGTGTGCAGTGTGGAGGAGAATGAAGGGGGGAAATGGGACAACTGTAATAGCATAATCAATAAAATAAAATAAAATTTTAAAAAACTAGTAGATGAATGTACTCTTAATGTCCATACGAATGAGAAATTCTAGTTTATTTTATCAAAATGTATTTTAAACACGTAATAACTGAAAGGGTGGGCCTTACCTCTCCATAGCCACAGACCACCACCTGCTTTCCACCAAACATCATGTCTGTTGTCCTTTTCAGTCTGGCGGAGAAGAAAACGACATCAGAAAAATCTTTTCATTTCTCCCTTGAGATTGGATTGTGCTCCTTGTTTTCATGTTTTATGGATGCCCCGCCCCCCAATTTTTAAAGAAAGCCTGGTTTCTATCCTATAAAAAATATTTAGTACCAGAAAGAAAGGTTTAATAAAATATGTATGTTCTCACTCCATGCGATCCGATCAACTGCAACTATATGTCAGTTTTGTTTTTTGCCTTCTTTCTTTCCCCTTCTTTTGGAAGCGGTTGCGGGGCAGAAGCTATAGACTACAAAGTAACTTTTAAAAATTCCAAGGTTTTCAGCTAAAAGCAGCCTATTCTGAAATAGACAAATATTGTGGGTCATTCTACTTATGTATCTGTTAACCTTTCCTGTTGAAGAGTTTATCCTGTCTTTTTAAGATTTGACAACTCCACTCAAGAGGAACTAGTACAACTCTCTAAACCCAAATGAAACTCAATAAATATCCATCAAGTGCAATTCTTAGTTGAGTGAAGGCAGAAGTCTAGTTTGGAGGGATTACTACCACACTCAAAAATCAGGGCTTAGGAGAATGGTCCTGGAGGGGCTGGCAGAGTGAGGAAAATCAATAGTTCATATTTCCCAGTCTCCTTTGCTTTGACTACCCTCATGCCTTTATGCCTCTTTTCCCAACTACTTTCTGCAGTCTTCCCTGACTACAAATGGCTTTGTGGTGGAAAGGAAACTTCACTAACTCTTGCCACTCTGCAAATGATAGGCTAAGACCTGGATGGACTCCAGTTAGGTAGTGATTTCTGTGTGGGGGCCCACATTTGCCTCAAGGTTCAAGGATAAAGGATAGAAAAGACATCAGTCAAAGCTTCTGGTAAAGTGTACCCCACTTAATGCCCCCAAAGGAGTTTCAATGGACAGATGTGTTAGGGGGATGGAGGAGGGCTGTCTGGTGGCAAGTGTGTCAGGTCAAGTCTCTGACTCCTAATTCTTCTAGTCCCAGGCCCTCTAGAAGAATTCCTAAAATACAATCTGTTTTATGATCTGAAAATCATATCTGGGATATTCTTAGTCTCGCTACCAAGTGGAACCTCAATCTCCAGAAGGCTACACTGGCCCTGCTTTTTGGCGTTGCAGACCAATTACAGAAGCGCTCTCTCCGAGTCAGCAGGCCATTCCCACAGAGCTCATGGTGCCGTGTGCAGCCAGCTCAGAACTACAGAAGCTTGGTCACTAGCCCTTTCCTCCTATAGACTCTGTTGGGCTGAATGTCCCCTCCCCTCCATTGCAGCCTTCCCTGGGGCACACTTTGCCTTCTCTTTAATTCCTCCTGCTCTCAACTCCTCTGAGAGGAGCATCTGCCCATGACCCATTCGGAAAGTTTCTTACCATCTGAAGGTGCCAATGAGCTCTCACTAGCTCAGCAGGTTTCTGGTAGATTACTGTGTTTGCCCATTTCCTCATTAACCCTAACTTCTGTTGCACTGCTTGCATCTTACTCTCACTTTCACACACATCTGATATGAAAGAATTTTTCTTACCCACAGGGTTAACACTGCTTAGGAGGGACTCTGTCCATTTTTACCATAAGTACCAAACGTACATAAGTACCTTTATGTATCTTTTACTGAATCCAGTATAGGTAGATTTTAGGCTCATAGACCTGAGACCTGAAAAATCTACAATATACTTAGTAGTGGATGAGTAAATATTTTAATGAGTATATACCCAGATTATTACTGATTTTATCAGGCACAAGGCTATTTTCATTGTAATAATATTTAAATGTAGACAGAACTAGGACAGTCTATAAACAGACTGATGGACTGAGAATTCATTTATATATACAATCTATCTAATACTACTGACTCAAAGAAGTAAAATTAATAATAGTTCAAATCTGCATTGAATATCCTGCTCCTTATGCCCCCCACCCCAAAAAAAAAGATTGCAAAGCAAAAAACTTCCCTCAAGATCGAAATCAATCTTAGTGCTGTACAGAGTTCTGGAAAGAAGAGCAAGGGAACTACCACTGAACACCGGGATTCACACCTGATCTCATTTACTCCTCACAACAACTCTATGAGGCAGGTCTGACTGTCGCCATTTTGCAGATAAGGAAATAGGCCCAGAGAGGTGAAATAACTACTCCAAAGCCTTAGGGTCAAGGAACGGTAGAACCAACAGCCTAACCAAGGCCTCTCTGGCTCCAGGGCCTGTGGCGCTGCAAAGTGCCTGGGGTCCACACTGGTTGGCAGTGCGGCCCACAGGCCTTTTCTTCGCTTTCCCATTAACCTCTACGTGAGGGAGACCGTTTCAGACAGGGAATTACTGAGCCCTCCTAGCAAGAATGGAACAAATGTCAGGGCGCCAGTGTAGAAACAGAAACTGGGTATTGTAAGAACAGAGTATTTGGTATATATCTAAGCAGATTTTGTCAGTGTTCAATCCTTAGAAATTTGAAAAACTAGAAATGCCTCTGAGAACTGAGTCTGCGCACCACAGCCTTCCAGATGGCAAGAGAATTACATGCTAGTTGGAGCTTAAGAACTGGCAATATGACCTGGAACAGGAACATCAGGAACCTTTTCCCAAACTATCAAAGATACTTACATGTTTATAATGACTTTAGTTAGTTTCTCTCAGGCCTGTTAGCATTATCAAATAAAACCCTGCCACCAACAGACAGGGGCTAGTTTGATTTCTTTTTAAGTAAAATAGATTTGGCCCTGGCTGGTGTGGCTCAGTGGATTGAGTGCCAGCCTGAGAACCAAGGGGTTGCTGGTTCCATTCCCAGCCAGTGCACGTACCTGTGTTTCAGTCAAGGCCCCCAGTAGGGGGCACATGAGAGGCAACCACACACTGATGTTTCTCTCCCTCTCTTTTTCCCTCCTTTCCCCTGTCTCTAAAAATAAATAAATAAATAAATAATTCTTAAAAAAAAAAAAAAAAGGAGTATAGATTTGCTTATAATAGTGAGAGGAATGGTAGCTCTGGGTTATAAAAATCTAAGTATGATGTGATGATAGGCTCAGAGGAGCTACATGAATCATTTCCAGAAAAACCAAAACCAAAATACTCAGAACCTCAATTCGACAACTCAAGTTCATCCCAAAGATAATAAAAGAAAAATTACCCATCAAGAATTGATTCACGGCAACAGTAGAGGTTGTCAAATTTCTGTTTGGTGACTGAGTCATTGACGTTCATGGCTGGAACACACAGCTTCCCTGCTTTGGATAGCTGGTACAGCCTGAGGATGAGGGAAATCAAGAAGAACATAAAACAATGAGATGCTGGATCTACTGTCAATTTCATACCAAATTCCAGAAATATGTGGATTGGGTAGGCATGAGAGCATGAGACATAACTAGTTTGTCCTATTAGGTATGTGTAGGGAAATAAAGACTACCTAGAGTGTGTATATAGCTTAGAATAAAGATCTTAAGCCAAAAAGCATGTGGGGAAAATCTCTTGCCCACCTCTAAATTATAAGGATTAACATGTAAAATTAAAAATTACTTATTAAAATTACCTTTAATTACTATTTTAATCCCAGTACTCTAATGCAACAACTTTAATTTTCAGTCTCAATTTTACAATCTCAATATACATACCTATAAATATGTATATCTATATATAGGATTTTTTTTTAAATCGAGTCAACTAAAAATCAGAACCAGGTGTTTTATTCAAAATCCATCCCTTTCTAAGAGCCTGAAAGTACAGTGTTTGCATATTCAAAAAGGTCACAGACTACTGACGTGGTCCTGGTGGCTCGTTCAGAATTTATTTCCCTAAAGCTCTTGTTTCATACTTTCCGTTCTTCCTGGGTGAATAACAGTAAACAGAAATGATTTCAGTTTTGCTCAGGGGATTATTGCTCCTCCGAGAAAGGGAACCTTAAGTCCTCACCCTCTGTGTAACAATGAAGCGTTATCAAGGCCCAGGTTTTGTCTGTTTTGCCTCATGCTAGATCCCTAGCACAGTTCTTAGAGCTGTTCCTGTTTCACCGTAGAAGTTCAAGAAATATCTGTTGCATACAGGAATTCATCTGAATAAGGACAAGCAGTCACTGTGTTACAATGGCCAGAAAATGTGAGGACCACATTTGTTCCCTGACCTGTCCCTGCCCTTACTGTATTAGATTTGTTACTCTTGTTCTTATTTTAAAAAAAACAAGTGTGCAGACTCAGATTTCATTACCTCATAGTAGGTTCCAATTTTTAACATAATACATTCTACAAGGATGTGATTACGAGAATGTATGTCTACGCTGCATAAAACTAGGTATGCCAGTGTTGAATCTTACCTGTGGACTCCAGTTACACTCTCCTCTACTATGCCCTTGATTTTCTTAAACATGTTGGGATACTTCTTATAAATCCAGTGAGTGAGATCCCCTCCATCATCTAAGATCTGCAACGATAAGCAACAATAATATTATTTATTTTGCCGAAGGCTCAGCGTTTCCAGTGCTTCTCTGGGTCTTGTATCACACTTTCTAATTGTCAGTTTACAGAGATTTCAAATTCCCCACATGGTTATGCAAAGTAACTTAAAGCCAGTATAACAACCAAACAGTCATTACATTGAAGTAAAAGATAATGAGGGGTGAAAGACCAACTGTAGTTCTCACAGCCAAATGACCTTTCCCCACGACACACCCAATAAAGCAAAATACACAGCAATGCAATGAGCATTTTCTTATGGTCTAATAACTCGAGTGGTTATCTAAACCACTAGTTCTTAAAAGTACTACAGATATTCAGAAAGTCTAAATCTATCTGAGCATATTTTCTATTCATTAAAATCAGATGTTAAAAAAAATCAGTCAAAGCTTAGTTTACATAATACCAGATAATTAAGTCTTCCTCCCAGAACAATGGCTTATAAAACTGTACTGATGAGTCCTTTATTTCTCCCCAAGTACAGGAGCTCCCTTACCCAAACCATCAGGCGGTGCTGTAGGGCTTTGCCCAGCACAACCTCACACTCTCTATGGCCAAATTAAAAATAACTAGGGAACTGTGCAGCATGTAAGTGTGCAAAGCATGCCCCTGAGCAGCTCATCATTAGTTCAGGTTGGCAATAAAGATAAACACAATGCTGTGCCCACTGGAGCTTTCACCAGCAGAAGAAAGTTTTTGAATAATAAATAAGCTAAAGAAAGATCAGCTTAGCATATGATTCAGCACCAGACTGGGGCACATCAGCCCTTCACCTAGCTGTCAGAAAGGCTCGGCAGGACTTTCCAAATTGTTACACCCACCCTCCTGGAAAGTCCCACAGCACCGCACTGCCCTCCATTAGCATGCCCCCGCTGTGCAGTCCGTCAATGATCAACATGATTGCAAGTGCCAAAAATGCCATCCTGGACCTCTGGGCACACTAAATCCCCAACCTCACGTCTATCACCTGATGTCTTTTCTGCTTCTGCTCTGGATTTACAATTACTTTCTCTGACTCAACTAAGCCTTATTTGAGAGCAGGGGGAATTCAAGACAGAGCTCTCATTAAAATGCTACACTTGCTCCATACCATAAGTTTGTGCTCCATTTTCTCCCAGTAAAAACCCTCAGAACAGTTGCCCTAAGAAACAGAAAGGCTCCTCTGAGTCTCTCTCTCCCTTTCTGCAAATATGAAATCCCTCATAGAGTTTTCCCTCTCAGCCTCTGATTCCCTAGCCACACAAGAGATCAGACAGAAAAGACTGAGCAATTAGAAACTCCTAAGACTCTGAAGTCCCACTATTCTCATCTAGGTGTCCAACACAGGCAGGCAGGTGCTATTCCTAATATGTACTCAATAAATGTAGCTCATAGTTCTCACCATGTAACTCTATTGCAGAAAATTCTTATCACCAGAAAAATCTTCCTGAGGTTGGAAAACAAGGGAAAGTACTAGATCTTGACAGGATCCGAAGAGATGTGGGTCCTGTTTTCTGCAGGTGACACCTGTTTTTATCCTTGTCTTACCCTCTTCGTTATCCTTTCCAGCTGTTTGTGCTGGCTCTACAGCCTATAAAAGGTCTCTGAGAACAATCCCATGTCCGCCCCGTGCTCATGACTATAAAATTACTGTTATATTTCCAGTAGAAATCCCCTGGCCTATCTTCTTTAGTGCCTGTCAGTCACACTCCCTCCCATTACTGTTTAACTCTGTTGGAATGAGCTGACTCATCTTACAGCCGACCCCTCCCTCCCTTTCAGGATATGAAGGCTTTAACCCAGCTTCCTCAAACCAGCACTGGGTGCGATGTGATGGGAATCACAGAATCCAGAAAGCTAGGCTGCTCTTCTCTGCTGCGTACCAGGTGAGGCCTGCTCTGCAGTATTTAGCAGCAAGCAAGAGTTGGACTACAGCTTCAAGGATTCATTTTTCAGTTGATTCCTTAATTTCTCTCCTCACTCGTGCAGAAATGTTTGTAAAGTAGGAGTGCCTCATTGTGCAGCTTTCTTCTCTTTGTGAATCTAATATGCTACCAGCCTTCAAGAATAAAAACAAAGCAAAAATAAAAATACCTAATCTCTGCCTAGTTATCCTTCTTAAGGTGGAGAATGAACAAAGCGAAGAAATTTGAGCTTGGAAACCCTCACGTTTACTATAAATTTAGCATTGATTCTAGAGAGAGAGCGAGAGCTGGGTACCACAGGAGGCGTGAGTACCACGCATGTGCATGTGTATGTGTTTAGATTCTTGATGTTAGGGGACGGTAGTGAGAGGTGGTAGGGGATGGTAACTCATCAGTCTTCCTTTTTAATCAGCCACATGTAAATGCTGAGCAGTATTTTAATGTTGTTGGTGAATATGAATGATTCTAAGATCGGCACTAATCATTATGGTACATTGAGGCTATAAAGAGGTTCAACATTCTTGGGGTGCCTGAGCATAAGCATCTAGTTCTGTTGGAAGCCCAGGTGCATCAGACAGAAAAGGGGTCATTACCCTTCTTTCCTGTTGGGAAACCCTCTCCTAGGCCAGAGCCTCCCTTTCTACCCCACACTCCCAGGCCCCTACGGAACTGTGTTCGCAGAAATCTAACCCACCATGTTGGGCTGCCAGCCCTCCACATTCACACATCTGTCAATACACCACCAAAAGTCATCTTCTGACTCTCCTTTCCAGGCAAAGACAGGAAATCCTGAGAAAAAGGAACAAAAAAGAAACCATTAAAACCCTGAAAAGGGGGCTGACCCTAAGTCCTGGCAAGAAGACGCTGGTTCTCCTCAATGACAAACGCTCGCACTCTGCTGTGCTCCTCGGACTGACTTTGTTCGTGGATGAGCACTGTCCTCAGTCCCTGTCTCACTCCTTTGTCATTGGCGGCCGTCTTGCTGGTGTTAGACCAACGAGGACAAACAAAAGTATGGTGGATGCTAAACACATGACTAAAGGGAAAAAAAAAAAGAAACTAGAAATAAGTACTTCTTGACCCAGCCCAACTGGAATTCTCACCATCTCCCAACTACACTTTGGTCTTCCTTGCTTTGGTACTTTGGGTCATCCCATCCTCTGCCAGGCAAACCCTTACACTCTTCTCCAGCTGTTAAAATGTTTACTACACTTCACGGCCCAGTGAAGAAGTGTCATGTTCCTAATGAAGCCGATTACCTTGAAAGCGAACTCACGTGGACTCTGAACTTTTTTTTTAAAGAATTTTTAAAAGATTTTATTTATTTTAGAGAGGGAAGGGAGGGACAAAGAGAGAGAGAAAGAGAGAAACATCAATGTGCGATTGCTGGGGGTCATGGCCTGCAACCCAGGCATGTGCCCTGACTGGGAATCGAACCTGCGACACTTTGGTTTGCAGCCCGCGCTCAATCCACTGAGCTACGCCAGCCAGGGCTGACTCTGAACTTTTTAAACCCCTTGTTTGAGTGCTGACTGTGGGTCTGCGATCTGTTGTGGCATTTATCATTGATGTTCTTGTATTATTATTATTATCATCTATATAATAACATAGAACATATAAGAAAAGATAACATATATCTATAAATGTTATCTTTTCTCAAGAGCAATATAAGATTCTGAGGACAAAGACATGGTCTCATTGTCTCCTTAATTTCCCTTGTAGGAGGCATAGTCAGTATTTGGGGAAAAAAAAAGACTGTATGTAAATTAATTGGGTTATATGTTTAGCATTTGTGTATTTTTCTATATGTATTTTACACATTAATAAAAATTTGGTAAGTGACTGTAAATGAAAGAACAAATGAAATGCTGAACGTGTTAGCAAAAGGAGAGCCCAGCATGCACCACGGAGCTTCCGCGGCGTGTCTCGAGAGCTCTGGGGCCAGGGTCTGCTTCTCTGATCTGTGCTGTGCTGCCAGGGAGTGAAGAGAAAGAACTGACAAAGTCCAAATTTCTCTCTTTTTTTTTTGTCCTTCTTCAGGAGTCTGTGACCACTGTGATGAAATATTAATCTTCCAGGTCAAATCCTGTTTACTGCTGAAGCAGAAACACCAAACGTTAAACCAGGGTTCAAAACTGCTAAAAACCAAATAGGACCGCAAAACTCTGCCGGAGGCATTTTCTCTTCTAATCCATATTACTTTACACAGTGAGTAGTGTTCACTGGTGTTCTAATATCAGCAAGTCAAGGCAAAGCATTAACTAATAAAGGATTATTAGACATAAGAAGATATTTGAGACTGTAACTATCTTCTGTATGAAACGAAAAGATCAAAGTGTAGGTGGGAAATGGTGAGAATTTCAGTTTACCAGGTAACTAAGTAACAAAGTTACCTAGATCAGATTTAACAAGAGAAGCCCAGAAAGAGCAAATACATCAAAAATAGAGATCCATTTCTGCCAAGAAAGGTCTTTTAACTTCAGCCTTCCTTAAAGATTTGTAAGGAGACAATGGAACTTTTCAGAGACTTACTTTAGCCAAAGACACAGAGAACAAGCAAAGATCTTACCACTTTCTGCTAAAGCAGCAGCCACTTCATTGAGAGTGGAATAGATGTTGCAGGCGGCCCATCGGCACTGTGCACCCAGGGCACCCAGAGTTTCCATAAGCACCTGTGTTCAAGAGAAAGCAGGAGGTGAGCAAGCCTGAGCCAAACAATTGGTCAAGGAGATTAAGTTTATATATTTGACAAGAAAGTACATCAGGAATAGCTGGGGTCAAAGATAGTCAAATTGTACTTTGCAGAAACTCTTTAGTATTTTGATAAGAGGGAGGGGTTTGGGGTAGGTATGGAGGAAGGCTCCAGCCGAGCTCTGTGAGTTTACCCATTTAACATATTGAGCCTCCCCATAAGACTTAATTAACCAAGGGTTTCAGAGCTAAAACATTTTTTAAAAACCACCAACTTATGGTTCTGTCTCTTCTTAGGACATAGAAGACCAAAAATAGAAGCTCACACCCAAACAAGAAAAAGCCAAGGCCCTGACTGGGTAGCTCAGTTGGTTCAAGTGTCACCTTGATACATCAAGGTTGTGGGTTCAATCCCAGGTTAGGGCGCATACAAGAATCAACCAATGAATGCATAAATAAGTGGAACAACAAATCAATGTTTCTCTCTTTAAAAAATCAATATATTAGCTCTGGATGGTGTGGCTCAGTGGGTTGCGTACTGGTCTGCGAACCAAAGGGTCACTGGTTTGACTCCCAGTCAGGGCATATGCCTAGCTTGTCAGCCAGGTCCCAAGTAGGGGGTGCACAAGAGGCAACCACACATTGATGTTTCTCTCCCTCTCTTTATCCTTCCCTTCCCCTCTCTCTAAAAATAAATAAATAAAATCTTTGAAAAGAATAAAATCAATAAATTTAAAAAAGAAAAGGAAAAAAGCCAGATGATCTACGAAACCATAATTTTTCTTGAGCCTATCTATCAAAAAGCTTGAGTCACAAAGCAACCCAGTGATCTGAACTCCACAGAGTGACAGATCTCTTTAAGGAGAAAGGAAGTAGTTTTATCTTTACCAGAGCACAGGAGGGAGAGGTAGCTGCCATATATAAGGATAAGAAAAAAATGAGCTGTAACTGTAATGAATTAGTAAATGAGTGTGGAAAAGTGTGTCCATGTAGAATTCCTTGCAGCTCCAGGCACAAAGAGATTTCACACTCACATCAAACTCTTTTCCAGGGTCTTCCACCCAGTGCTCACAGGGAAGACTTGGGGCAGAGAGCTGACTGGCTGTGCTCAAAGAAAGGCATGAAACCCGGGCACTTCCCCACAATCTTCTCTCATAGGAAGCAAAAGCTTTAAGCTGTAGAAAGAGGAGCAGGAATCATGCCTGCCACCAGGGATCAAGCAAAACCTCTCTGCTCCTAGGGGAGTAGTAGGAAACTTCCTTGGGTCTAGACCCTGCAATGATACAAAGTAAAGATCTACTACCACACCAGGAGGAGTAGGAGAAAAATCTACTGCTTAAGACCTACCACAGATACAAGGCAAAATATGGCTGCCTAAGACTGAGGCTGGTTCGGAAGATTCAAGAACTCTCCTTGTTCTCACCATAAGCCTAGCTCCAGGAAACAAGTCTATTATTGCAGGTGGTGCATGCACATGAAGAGAGCCCCTCAGGCCTCCGCCAAACAGCAAGTATGTGCAGAAGCAGCTGAAAGCTGAGGATGAAACAAAAAAACCTGAGGAGAGCCCTGTGGTAACCTCAATGATAAGGTTGTAGCAGCCCATGCTGGAGGAATTCAAAGCCTGTAATGCAGAACAACAGAACTGAAATCCAGCCCAAGTCAAGACCATAACAGAAACTAATACACTACTGTTCAATACAAAATTTTAAGATAAACAAATGAGTGGGGGGAAAAAACCCCAACCAATTGTCAAGAAATAAAGTATTCAAGAGAATTAGACTTAGTGACAAGCTAGATGTTTAATTAGATAAGAACTTTAACTATGATTATTATGTTTATGTTAAAGGGTCTAGAAAAAGATGGACAATATCCATGAATAGACAGAAAATTTCAGCAGAGACATGGAAATGATAAAAACAAGCCAAATATAAATGTTGGGAAAAAATTTTCTTTAAGGTTTCAGAGATTAAGAATTCTTTCATCAGGTTTATCATCAGACTAGGCATTATCTGAGGACAGAATCAGATCAACAGAAATCACCAAACTGAAATATAGAAAGAAAAAAAGAGTGGGGAAAAAAATCAGAAGACAGCATCCAAGATCTATGGGATATTATCAAATGGTCTAACATACATGTAATTGGATCCATAGAAGGAGAAGAAGAAAATGGCAAAATATGCCTATAATAAGAGTTAATGGGCAATTGTTTTCTGAAATTAATGAAGGAGGATCCAGGGACAATGACATCCTAATAGCAAAGATCACCCTAGTGTACAGATCCACTAAAACACCAGGGCTCCTCGTAGAAATGGGGGATTCCAGAGCTAGGGCAGAGAACATACACGGTGAGCTTAGACCATCTTGTACCAAAAGCAAGGAACGCTCAGGGAGTGAAAGGGATAGGCCAGAAGACAGGCCACAGAAGCCAGACTGAAGGGGCTCCCCTTTGGCCAAAAGTGGAGCAATCTGAGCATCATATTGTAATAAATAATGACAGTAATGGATTATAACCTATTAAACAAAACAGGAAACAATGATTCCATACACATAAACAAATGAGTAAATAAACGGAAAGTTTAATGAAAAACTGGATATTTACATAGTTTCATATTACTACCTCACAAAATACTTATTAATTACAAAGGGAGATAAATACCTTTTAAAATGGAAAAGTCCGCCAGACACCACTTGGAGTAATCAGGGATCGAAATGAACATCGCTGGGACACACTGAAATCATGTGTTATCTGATAAGATTAAATTTTTAAAAATGCAGCATCACTTCCTACCAAAGATGCATGGCCTGAATCTAATAATGAGGAAGCATCACAAATGTCCAAATCGAGGATATTTTACAGAATAATTTGTCTATAATCTTCCAAAGTGTCAAGGTCATGAAAGTAAAAAACTATAGACTGTTTTGCACTAAAAGAGATGGAAGAGAGATGACAAATGAGACACAGAGCTATGAACTGAATCCTTTGTTATAAAGGGTATTATTGGGACAACTTGTGAAACTCAAATGGAGTCTGAGAATTAGATGATAATAATGAATCGATGTTAATTTCCTACCTTTCAGTGGCTCCACTGGTTGTATAGGAGGATGAACGCCCTTAGAGAAACACAAACTAAATGTTTATTTGTGGGGCGAGCATAAGGCTGGCAACTTTTAAATGGTTAAGAAAAAAGTTATTCATAGCATACTTGTAACTTTTCTATAAATCTATGTTTGTGTCAAATTAAAAAATATTTTAAGACACATCTGGCCATGATGGAGGCATAGGTATATACACTGTCTCCTCGCACAACCAAAGGAAGGACAACAACAATTTAAAAACAAAAACCAACCAGAACTGACAGAAAATTGAACTGTATGGAAGTCTGACAACCAAGGAGTTAAAGAAAACACATTAATCCAGACCGGTAGGAGGGGCGGAGATGGGCAGCTAGGCAGAGAGGACTTCCGGCAAGGCAGCAGAGGGCGGACTTGGCGAGGTGGCAGATTGTGGACTGGGCGGTCCCACATTTGCGTGAAGATAAAGCCAGAGAAACAACTGGGGATCGGGACAGACTGTGCAACCCAGGGCTCCAGCACAGAGAAATAAAAGCCTCAAATCACTGCGTGAAAATACCTGTGGGGGTTGACGCAGCAGCGGGAGAAGCTCCCAGCCTCACAGGAGAGTTCATTGGAGAGACCCACAGGGTCCTAGAACGTACACAAACCCACCCACAAGGGAATCAGCACCAAAAGAGCCCAATTTGCTTGTGGGAAGTGGGTGAAGGGACTGAAATCCAGCAGACAGCAGAGCAAGTGCCATTGTTCCCTCTGGGACCCCTGCCCCACATACAGCATCACAACACAACAATGTGGGTTGCCCACCCTGGTAAACACCTAAGGCTCCACCCCTTCCTACGTAACAGGCAGATGGAGGCAAAAAAAAAAAAAATGGCCCAAATGAAAGAACAGATCAAAGCTCCAAAAAAATACAACTAAGTGATGAACAGATAGCCAACCTATCAGATGCACAGTTCAAAACACTGGTAATCAGGATGCTCACAGAACTGGTTGAATTTGGTCACAAATTATATGAAAAAATGAAGGTTATGCTAAATGAAATAAAGGAAAATGTACAAGGAACCAATAGTGATGGGAAGGAAGCTGGGACTCAAATCAACCATGTGGAACAGCAGGAAGAAACAAACAACCAAACAGTAAAAAAGGAAGAAACAAGAATTCAAAAAAATGAGGAGAGGCTTAGGAACCTCCAGGACATCTTTAAACATTCCAACATGTAAATTATAGGAGTACCAGAAGGAGAAGAGGAAGAGAACAAGTGGAAAACTTATTTGAACAAATAATAAAGAAAAACTTCCCCTATCTGGCAAAGGAAATAGACTTCCAGGAAGTCCAGGAAGCTCAGAGAGTCCCAAAGAAGTTGGACCCAAGGAGGAACACACCAAGGCATGTCATAATTACATTACTCGAGATTAAAATGAAGGAGAAAATCCTAGAAGCAGCAAGAGAAAAGGAGACAGTTACCTACAAAGGAGTTCCCATAAGACTGTCAGCTGATTTCTCAAAAGAGATCTTGCAGGCAAGAAGGGGCTGGGAAGAAGTATTCCAAGTCATGAAAGGCAAGGACCCCCATCCAAGATTGCTCTATCCAGCAAAGCTTTCATTTAGAATGGAAGGGCAGATAAAGTGCTTCTCAGATAAGGTCAAGTTAAAGGAGTTCATTATCACCAAGCCCTTATTTTATGAAATGTTAAAGGGATTTATACAAGAAAAGATAAAAAATATGAACAGTAAAATGACAGCAAACTCACAATTATTAACAACCACACCTAAAACAAAAACAAAAGCAAACTAAGCAAACAACTAGAACAGGAACAGAACCACAGAAGTGGAGATCCCATGGAGGGTTAGCAACAGGGGAGTGGGAGGAGGAGAGAGGGGGAAAAGGTACAGAGAATAAGTAGCATAGATGGTAGGTAGAAAATAGACAGGGGGAGGGTAAGAATAGAATAGGAAATGTAGAAGCCAAAGAACTTATATGTATGACTCATGGACATAAACTAAAGGGGGGAATGTAGGTGGGAGGGGGTGTGCAGGGTGGAGGGGAATGAAGGGGGAAAATGGGACAACTGTAAGAGCATAATCAATAAAATATATTTTAAAATATTTAAAAAACTAATCTACTGATTTGACCCTGACTTCTTTTATTTCAATAACTAAGATGCAGGTAGGATTTTTAAAAGGGTGGTATATCACCCTAATGCTTTAAGAGCTATTTTAACAATGATAAAGCTTTGGTTAAAAAGCTTGTTTTAAAATTTCCTGATGATGGTTAACTCTGAGTATTGCTAATTTTCATTTTTAAAAGTTTGTATGTAGCATAATTTATACTAAGTAAGAATTCTAATTAAAGATTGTGCTCTAATTTAAAAAACAAAACTTGCAGACAATTCCACTAATGTGGGCTAACCTCTCATGTAATTTGTCCAAGGGCACGCAGTAAGTTAATAGCAAAACTACTCATATTTCTAAATTTCTAGTCTGTGCTACCTTTGAATATCTGATTCCATTTTTTTTATCTCATTTTAGTTTTCACCTTGAAGAATTTCTGAATTCCTACAACTAGGAATTCTGAATTTGTCAAATAAAAAAATGATACACAGACTTAACTACAAAGCAATATAAATTAACTATAAAAGTCATAGAATATAAAAACAGTTCAAAGAACTCTGAGTCAAGACTGCTGGCTATTAGGGTGCATGCAAGCAGGAGTGAAGGCAGGCAGGAGAAAGAGGAGGACAGAGCTTAGAACCTGACTTTGAATCACTACTGTTTACAAGAAGCAGCTAGGAAATCTGCTTAGAAGGAACTATGAAACATACCTAAAAACATAAGTAGATCCAAGTCTATTAGAAACATGGATAGGAAACTGTTCACTATAATAGTTCTATCTGAAGCACAGGATTACAGGAGACTTTTGTCTTTCTACATTACAGACTGTGGTGATGTTTGAGTATTATAAAATGAACATGACAGCTTTCATAATCAGAAAAATAAAATAGAGATTAAAAATGAAACAAAGCAAAATTCCTCTGTCATTAATTTTTTAAAGGAAAAAGAAAAAAACATGGAGAGGATACATTAAAATAATGTTAAAATTGGTAAACTAGCTTTGCTTGCTCTGACTTTGATTGCTCCAGGAAAGAGAAGAAAGGAACCTGAGATACAATGAAGCAGCACGAGACAGTAGAGGAGCACTTACTATTTTAAGTCTCATGTCCCTGCCTGGGGAAGCCCAAAAAAGGTTCCGAGAGTGTTTCTGCCTCAATTCATTAGTCTGTAGCTCCAAAAAGAGATAGCTTTTCAATTTATTACATTAATTTGGGGCTGCCAAAGTACTCTTTCCCTCAGAGAACATGTAACCCAGAAAAGTCTCACAGTATAGATGATAAGAGCAGCTGTGTCTTGAGGAACCTCCGCTGCTTTTAATGAGGAACATGGCCTCGTAAGTGTTGTGCTTGAGAAGACAAGGTTTTGGAAGCTCATCTAGTCATAAAAATGACCTGGATCTTACAAATCCCATAAAAGATTCCAGACCGTTTCTCACTACTCCAGTTTCCCGTAGCGGTCTCATTATTGTTGGCAACTCAGCATCCATCACATCTCGGATGGCGGCTCGAAGCCAGTGGTTCTCAACAGAGGAACTCTGGAAAGCTGTGGGGGCACTTCTGGTTACCCCGATAATTGAGAGGGAGTGCTACTGGCATTTAATGGGAGGGCCAACTCGAAAGTACAGGACAGTGTTTTGTAACTTGCAACTGTGCCGCATCTGGTAAAATTTTCCAATGTTCCAATAAAAAGTTCGTAAGAGGGAGAAACCTATTTATAATTATCTGTGTTTAGAACCTTATTCCACTTTACACATTAACAAAAAGTGTTTTGTAGTTTTCCCAAGAATGAGGCAACTGTGTGTAAATGAAAACTCGTATTTTTTATTATTCAGAAATTACAAAAAGTTGGTGATAATTTCAAAAAATCATATAATTTGGCAATACTGTTGTGATACTCCAGAACCAGTAACAGATTCATTTACCTACATTTATAGCACTTTGATTAAAATAGTGCTGAGTAAGTACAAATATGACTGTTCTATTTTACCTGCACCCATTTATATATTGAAATACACATTATGAATTATTTTCCTTTTATTCTTCTTTCATATTTCAGTTAAAATTTTGTTGATTTAAAAAAATTATATGTAGCTGTCTAGGTATATAGATATCTATACATCTGTAGATATATCTGAATTTCATTTCAAGATAATACAGGGGCATGCAAAATATTTTTCTATAACAAGGGGACACTAACTCTGATAGGGGTGAGAATCATTGGTCTAGACTCTAAACCAATCACGGTAATCCCAGTCCTAGGACTGGTGGGGCAGGGGCACTTGATCCAGTTCTGCTCAGTGACACAGGATGGAGTATCCTGGAGGAATTCCAGGAAAGGTTTCTTGTTCTTGGGAGAGGGGGAGAAATGGTGCCTCTCCCTCTTCATGTCAGTTTGTGATGGCTTGAAGAGCTGTAACTGTCTTGCTGACAGCCTGAGGATGAATTGTCACCCCCCCGCCCCCTGCCCCCTGCATCTGAAATCTGAAGTCTGCCTGACTGCTGGCCTTCACGCTTCCTCTTATTTGCAGCTTAAAGCGGCCTAACGCTGAGTAACCTGAAGAAATGATGCTGGAAGTGAAGATAAGGGGAAGCAGTGTAGGATTGTGGAGAAAGCAGAAGCATGGAAGTCAGATATATTGAAGTTTACAGCTTGATTCTGTGATTTACTAGCTCTATTACCTTGGATAAATAACTTAAACTCTCTGAGCCTCAACTTCCTCGTTTGGAAGGAACTAGGACTACCTGCTTTATCATGAGGATCAGTGCACTAATACTTGTTAAGCTTTTAACCTAGTGCTTGGCAAATTGCAAGCACTCAGTGGCTGGGGCTATTCTTAACTATGATGCTGTGGAGAAAGGAAAAAGACTTACCGCAGTCTGAGCAGTAATGTGTGTGCAGCCCACAATTTTGGCTCCAGCCAAAGGTTTTTCTCCTTGAGCTCTCTTCCTCAAAGCCATCAGTGCCGGCATTTCTGAAAAGGCCCAACACATACACAGCATATTAGAGAGGAGGGGGTGAAAAAGAAAGAATAAAGGGAAAAACTTACTCTCTTAAGGCAAGATCCTTCCCCTGATGAGGTTCCCTGTTAGATTAGGTTTCTCAAGGGATTAAGACACTAAATCTGAGTTTTCTTTTATAAGGGGCTCCCGGAGTCACGCGCTCCAGTGTGCTGATTCCCTAGATCCCAGTCGGCTTTATCTTAAGTCTCCCTCTCTCCCCTTACCCTGGTGTAGGGCTTCCTTCCAGACCTGCCAGAGTCCACTCCCTCCCCACAGTGTTTCTTGAGTTCAGATTTTTTTTTATAGTCTCCCACATCACACTGTAATTTCACAAGCTACTAGGTCCCAGGACATGAAAAGCTATTAACATGGACAAATGTTACATCGGTTAAAAATTTGTTGATTTTAAAAAATTATATGTAGCTGTCTAGGTATATAGGTATCTATATATCTGTAGATATATCTGAATTTCATTTCAGGATAATACAGGGGCATGCAAAATATTTTTCCATAACAAGGGGACACTGACTCTGATAGGGGTTGAGAATCATTGGTCTAGACTCTAAACCAATCACGGTAATCCCAGGGATTATCTGTGTAAAGACACAGGCAGTTTGAGAGGAAAGGTGCTTGCTTTCTTTACCTTGTTCAGCAATTTCAATTTCTCTTCGTCCAAACTCTGCCTGTTTGATGTTCTTGACACAGAAGTCACTGCTTCCCTTAGAGTTCTTTTGCTGCTTGTCCCTGGGAGATGTCTCATCATCAGAGCTATCTGTATATGAAGCCGCTGGAATGACAGAATAAAAAACCCTCAGGAGGAAAAATGGCCTTCTTGAAAATTCCAAGCCATGGAGTGAACTGAGGATGATTCTGATCATCCAGCACCATACACATTCACACATCTGGTAAGCACCACCATATTTCTGCTGTGCATAATGTGCAACTTTTTGCCCAAATTTTTGAGGAAAAAATAAGGGTGTGCAATATAATATACATGGGCAGTACCTGAAATACCTTTTATCTGGTTCTTTTGTTGTGTAATTATTGGTTACATAAAATTTCTTGTACCACAATATGTTAAAAAAATGAATGCTAAAATTCCTTTATACTATAAAAAACAAGCATCTAAATATAAACAAATTAAAAATTGAATTAAAATAGTAAAACAAAAGATTTTTCCCCTGAAAGTTTGGGCCAAAAATGTGGCTGTGCATTATACATGGCAAAATACGGTATATGGCACTGTGGAGCTGTCCCAATGGCTCCTGTGGAAAGTGCTACCCAGAGATCAGAAAGAGGAAGCTGAGAGCAGTTGTCAAAGACATTCTTCCTGGAGAGCATTAACTTGGAATCTAGGGCTGGCTTTATTTTCAGAGGTCCTTGAATATGCAAAGAGAGAGCTCACACCACAGTAGCAATAGGTTAAAGTTCTAAATGCAAGATCACAGTTATGAACCTAGGGGTTTCTGGGGCCCTAGCTACCCTTCTCTGTCTGCCGCTCAAATGCCTGATGTAATTTGTGTTTTAGTACAATAGCTAAATAGATAAGATCTAGAAAACAAGGAACCCATGGGAAAGTAATTAAGAACCACACAGAAAGTGTTTGTCGGACATAACAGAGCTTTCTTCTTTAAGACAGGGCTCTGATGAGGCTGAACTATGCCTGCAGACCAATTAGACCCTGACAATGAAGGATTCAGCATGCTCTCCCTTCTTTCTGGCCTGTGGTCCTGCATTGGGCAGTTTAGACTCTCAAAAGAAGTGATAAATCCTTGTTTGGTATAATAAAATGCTGATGACAAATCCTTTTAGCAATATACACTAGGGGGTGAAAGGTAAGGCTTTTGATTGTGGCTAGTAGGCAGCAGCAGCTGCTGCTATTCCCACGCTTAGCTGAGGTCTGTTTAGTCTCCGTTTAATTCTGTAGTCGCTGATCATTTGCCGGACGATTTGAATCAATTTCCTTCCTTGATTTATATTTAAGTTTCTGTGGATAGTTTCTTCCTACACAGTTGGCAAGGTTTTGGGAGAGGAAGCCTGGGAAACATAAAGTGCTGTCTACAAAGCATTACATATTTCCCAGGGAGACAAGTACTTCCATCACTTTTAAGGAGAGACGGCTGTAAAATCCCAGAGCTCCTAAGGTCTCCAGTACTCTGATCTACCTATATCCAGAAAATTAAGACATTTCTGGGATTTCTTAGCCAAGGGTCTATCTCTGGGAGGGCTGTAAAGGGCAAGTCTGACCTTGCCCGGGTAATCAGGCATGGCACTGCAAAACGCTGGGGCAGCAGGGACCTCAGGGTCTCTCTCAGAGCTGGAAAACAGCCCCAGGGCAAAGTCCGAACACGAGGCAACAAGAATGAACTTGGGTCACCTGGGGAGGTGAGAGAATTAATAAATCCCCAAAGATTAGCTCTTCAAAGGAGCTAATCCCTACAGAAAGTTTGTGGTTCTCCCTCCTAGGGTGAGTGAGAGCTCAAAGTACCTTTAGCAAACAGAACCCTGAAACCACTTCCTGGGTAGTCATCTATCTCAGTAGTCAATGCTCAGAAACAGCTTCTGAGCAAGAGGCTGAGGAAACCGTGCTTCTACCACCGGAGAGAAGACGACAATAGCCTCCCCGAATCCTGATCCAAATTTTTAGGATAATTGCTTTTGAAGCAAGTGTTTACATTCAGAACATGCAGAAAGTTCAAACCCTGTCCCACAGACATGCTGACTTTTGTGTTCCCCAATGGCCATTTAAATACAGTGGTTTTGTGTTCTGGAGTCAGACAGACTTTGATTGATGTCTCGGTTTCTGTTTCTAGGTGAATAAAATGGAGGTGATAACCTATTTAATAGGGTTGTTCACTCATGCATTCAGTCATTCACACATTCAAATTCACACAAAAATTCAACACATTTTTACTGCGCATCTGCTACGGGCCAGACACGCTCCGAGAGCTGGGGATACAGGGCAGATACCGTCTGTCTTCACCTTCGGGGAGTTTTCAGTCTAGTCGGTAAGTCAGACGTGAAATAACCAATTACAAAAGTAATCATTTGGAGTTTCTCTTTCCTTATGGTTGTAACAGGTACGATGAAGAAGACTGTATAATAGGCAGACATGACTTGTCCAAGTCAAGTTGTTAAGAAGATTAAATACAATAACTCAAGTAAAGTGTTTAGTGCAATGCTTGGTGTAAAGCAGTCAATAAATGGTACCTGAAATTATTAATGGCTTTTGCATATTTAAAACAAAATTCAGAATGCCTCATGAATTTGCAGGCCATCCTCACGCAGGGGCCGTGCTAATCTTCTCCGTATCGTTCCAGTTTTAGCATGCGTGCCGCTGAAGTGAACACTGCACGTTTTTAATTCAATACCATACATGACCTCTTTAAGGGTTCTTATTCAGCATTAGCATTTTGAATGGGAAAGGAATGACATACATACAATATTATTTAGCAGTTTCTTTTTCTCTACCTCTGTCATTTATTAATCTGGCAAAGCCGCAGGGGGTTGGCCGGCAGTGACTGAAAAGGCTGAGACTGCAGTCCTTACTCCATCCAGAATGGCTCCCCTCTCCTCCACCTCTTTCGGCATCTCAGGATAAGTCAGGGGAAGACAAACCAACACACGATGACAAACCCCCAAATTTCTCCAATTTTTGGCTTGTGTTTTCTCCCAAGTCAAAGAAAAAATTATTTATACCATTTTCCTATTCTAAAATAGAAAAAAAAACCAACCCAATATTTAATTTTCTTAACAGCAGTCAACTTATTATAGTTAGTTCAGCTGATGTATTTTTTATTTGAGCCAAAATGAATCTGTTTTTCAAAGAGTTCTTTATATAGACCTGTTATCAGGTAAGAGCCAAAATATTAGTTGTCTACATTGTAAAAATATGTGAATGCAAAATGCCTGACAGACCCAGACCGAGAGGGTTGTTTCTGCAAACACAGTGAAAAGATTATTCCTGAACTACTGTGTCATTTTTTTAAATCCATACTCATTTCTGCCACTATATTTAAAGTAGCATATTCGTGAAAATAGTTGAGATATCATTAAACATTTTTCCTAGGAAAATGTAGAGAAACCCAACACATATGTATGTATACATATGCTTGAAAAGTTTCTAAAGTGTGTGGGATTTTTTTTTAGATCATATTTATTTATTTGTAGAGAGAGGGGAAGGGAGGGAGAAACAGAAGGAGAGAAACATAAATGTGCAAGAGATACATTTACTGGTTGCCCTTGCAGGGCCCCAGCTGGGGACCTGGTCCGCAGCCCACACCTGTACCCAGACTGGAATTGAACCGGCAACCTTTTGGTTTGCAGGCTGGAACTCAGTCCACTAAGCCACACCAGCCAGGACAAAAGTGTTTGTTCTTAGCAGCACACTCTGAAGCCCAGAGTCATAACTTAATGAAAAATTAATGATCTACAACCAAGGCAATAACCTACTGAAGTACGGGCCTGAGACCTTAACTTCTGTTTCACTTCTAATTAGTTAAGTGGCCAATTTTCAATTTACCTAACTGTAAATCAGGGAGTCTAACAGAGCCTCTCTCTCCCTTTCCTCTACTACCACCCGAAAAATCTTATGAATAAATGAGATAATACCAAAAGAGGTTCAACTTCTGGGTAGAAAAGTAATATAAAGTAATATGTTACCATGAGATGTTGTCTTGTTTCATGAAATTCCAAAATCAAAACATGACTTGATGATTCACTAATCTACAACCTACCCCACAGAATGTGCGCACATATGTTCTGTGGCTTGAGCTTGAGGAAGCCTTACCTCCCAGCAGCTGTGATGCTGTGAGTTATTAATATGAGGAGAAGCAGTCAGACTCCTGGCTGAACCAGTCCTATTCGACTGGTGTAAGCCAGGCAATTCCTCTTGGGCCCAATCTATTCACTTGGCAATGAAAATAACAGTAGGGGCCAGTGTGTCAAAGTGCAGCAGATGTCACTGATGAATTAACACTCTAGGAACATGTGAAAAGCTATGTTAGCAACCAAAATACAAATAAAATTTTATTATTTGGAAAACTGTGAAAATACTTCAACCAATTATGACCTCAGAGACTTCAGTCTTCCTTCCTTATCCTTAAATAATTAACTGACTGCAAAGACAGCTTTTTCAGAAATGGATTACTGAGAATGATCTGACTTTGAATACAAGTCTTTTGTTCATTTTTTATGAGGTTGTTTTCAGAAACTTGTTTTTTATAAAATAATTTTAGACATTAATGCAGCCTTTTTCAACCAGCATTAGGTTTGCCAGCATTAAGCCCTAATGCCTTGAAGCATCCACAGAATATATGAATTAACTTCTCTCCTATGCATCTCCAAGGGTACTGGTATGACCCATCCTTTGAAGGACTGAGAAAACAGTCTCCAAATTCTTTTCTGTGTTCTGTGATTCAGATGAGGAACACTGGCTGTTGAGAAAGGCTGGTAGAAGTTCCTCAAAGAAAACATTTTGTAATGTCATAATACCTTCGTTTTTATCTGCTTACATGCACAGAATATGTCAGAGACCTCAACAAGGGTATAAAGTATAATAAGAAAGTCTCTGGGCACCTTTCACCAATATTTATTTACAGAGCACCTCTTATGTGTCAAATAAAGTTCTAAGTGCTGGAAACAGCAGTATGAAACAGGCAAAAATCTCTGTTCTCATGGGTCTCATGTTCAAGACAGGAAAGAAAAGACAACAATAAATTAGTAAAAATATATGTTATATGATAATAAGTGCTATGGAGAAAAAGTTGATGGGAGCATTGGATGGGGTGTTTGTATAATTTTAAAAGAGCAGCCAGGACAGGCCTCTTTGAGAGGTGATCACTGGTTGAGAGCTGGAGGCAGATGCCCGGCTAGGGTGCCTTAGAGCATTCCACATACAGGGAATAGCAAGTGCAATAGTCTTAAAGCAGGCGAGTTTCAAACAGCGGCAGCAGTGAGGAGGCTGGTATGACTGCAGTGAAACGGACACCTCGGGGAGGCAGGGGGCTGGGGAAAGGAGAGATGTGATTAGAAGTGTCACGGGAGGCTGGATGGCATAGGGCCTTTACACTATAAAGGCCATACACAGGCCGTTGTAAGAATTTTAGCCTTTACTCAGAGAGAGACTGGAAAGCCACGGGAGGGTTTCGAGCTACGTGATATGACCTGGCCTGACTTATTTTAGAAGAATGAATCTTGCTATCGTGCTGTGAACAGGCTGAAGAGGAGCAAGGATGGAACTCAGGAGCTGAGCTTTTAAGACATGGGAGGTTTGAGACGCCTATAAAACACCCAAGTGAAAGGACTGAGCAGAACGTTGAATATGCAGATCTAGTGTGTACGGGAGAGATTTGAGATGGAGATAAAATTTGAGAATCAAATGTCAGAACTATGTGGTATTTAAAACTGAGACTGAATGAGGTCACTTGGGGAGAGAGTATAAACAGAGAAGGGAAGAAGTCCAAAGGTCAGTCTTTGGGGCTCTGTAATATTAGTTTCTACGTCACTTAAATTGTAATGGATGATGAAAATGGGTTCCAAGTTCTTACTGACGTGCATTTGCATGTCTTCTTGTATTTAGAAGGTCGTGAGTCAAGTCTGTTATTCCTGGCTTTTCGTTCAATGGGTTTGGAGCATTTTCTGCGTCACTCCATACATGTTCCCACTGTCTCTGTTATGGATTTACAGACTGCAAGAGTTTTCTGGGATCACACAACAATCACACACGAAGCTAAGCCTGGAAACTAGGTCTCTCCTGACTCCCACTCTGAGACTCAAGGCAGTAGGCATCTCCATTCAGAGTTTGCTTGAAAGGGCTCCACACTGTTCATGTGGAAAAAAACAAAACAAAACTGAAAAATAAAACGGGGTAGCAGTACGTGTGACACACAGCTGCCAAAGAAGCAAACATATTCTTGGGAGTCATTTTAAAAGCACTGAGTTTATGGCACTAACACTTCCTGTAGATTAGTTCATATCATATCTGGAATATTATATTCATAAACGTAGTATTTTTAAAGGGAAACTTAATCTGGAATATATCCACATGAAGATAACCAGGACAGTCGGTTGCCCCCAAAATAGTGATTTAATTTTTAAGTAAAATCTTACATTCCTGAACAATGATTAAAATAAAATTAAAAAAAAAAAAAGGGTGGGCGGGCTGGAATGGGAGTAAAAGGGAGAAAACTGTACTTGAACGATGATTAAAATAAAACAAAAAATAAAATAAAAAAATTAAATTAAATTAAAAAAAATCTTACATTCCAAGAATTGTATAAGAGTTTATCAGGACCTATATAGCTAGAAAAAACAAGGATTACCCTATCATTGAACACGCTCCCAAAGAGACCAGATCGCCATCTGTCAGGGACACCGTCAGGGCAATTCCAGCATCCAGTGGGAAGCTGAGGAACTGATCTTCAAGGTATTTTCCACTCCAGAATGTTTCTACTCCAATGCTTTTGAGCTTAGGATCCTTAAATGGCTATATATGGTTGATAATTTTTTACTATAAAAAATGGCAATTTCATATAGTTCAACTTTCAAGTCCAGGTATTCCAGAGTAGCATCCGTCAATGCCACTCACCGAGGAGCTGACAGACAACTATGTGTTGCTTAGAAACCAAGGACGTCAATCACACTCTTCTAGGTAAACAGATACTTTGTCGAGCACCCTCCCTGCACACAGGGGTTCACTGAGCAGGCAGGCATTGGCCTTCCCTGCACAGACATAGTTGGAAATGTGGATCTAGTGTGTAGGGAATGGACTGAGCTGGACTTAAAATTTAACAATTATTATTTAGTATCATAGTTTAGATAACATGCACGAACTCACAGTCTAAAATGCCACATCCTGTTTTACAGTTCACATTTTCAAAATTATTTTAATTTCCAGGGTTACACTTAGAGTTTTCAACACTGGTTATTTCAGCAGAATAAGATAGGTAGGACAGTCAGTATCTTTAGACAAAAATGCACGGGATCTTATCTCGTGTGCTTTACACCATTCAGTAATTGTGGGAAGAAAATCAAAAGAGAAATGTAACAATGTAAATAACAATCTACCCAACCTAAAATTGTTTCCTAAACAAGCATTCTTCAAGTTTACATAACAGATACTACTTTCCTACTTGTGTGAAGAACAAATAAAACTTTGGGTCATGCTAAAAAATTTTTAATGAATATTACTGTTTATAGTGCAAAGAGACAACTAAGCTTCCTATCACATTCTGACATGAGAGCAAAATAAAATAGCTCCACATTAGATCTGACACACACTGGGTGCTGTTGCACAAATGGCAAATGCCTTCAAGGGGTTTCACACGGTAATAGCTCATCTGGCATTAAATTGTAACAGCCCCTGAGCCCGTATATTTGAATTAATGCCACTGCAATGGAAGAAAGGAGTAACAAGCAATACAATGTCACAGCTCAGAAGAGAAGGCAAAGGGCTCCTCTTTGCCTTAGTTACGATGTTTTCATGTTTCTTAGGGCAATTAAGGTTTCCCCTTTAATTTGCAAGTACCAGACAGAAGGATGGGAAACCCCGTTTATTTTCAAGGAATGGAAAAAGACACAAGTCTTTACACATGTTGTTCAGGGAAGGTCATAAATGAGCTACATACTCCCTCCCACTCTCTGAATAAATCAGAACTCAATTTCCTCAATCACCACCTTCTACCTTTATTGGTAGAAGAGGCCTCTGAATCTCCAAGAGGAATCCAAAAAATCCATCTAGAATCTTGGTCTAAATTTCTACCGGGAGGCAAAGTGTTTATTCCAAAGCACAGGCTTGACCGTGCTTCATTAGCCTTGGGCAGACAGGAGGGCCCACTGGTCATACCTCCACAGGCGGGTCCACCAAAGTGCAGGACTCACCTGAGCTGTAGCTGTCAGTAGATGACTGAGAAATGGAACGAGACAGAGAGCGACGTCCAATTTTGGAGGGGCGTTTGTTGAATTCTTGCTTCTGGTCAGCAAACTGGATCTGCTAAGAAAAAGAACTCCAGTTATATAAAGGAAAGGAACCTCCATTTTGAGAGCAATTCAAGGCAGCTGATCTGACTGCACCGGCCCCTATTTGGAATGTTAAGATTCTGGAGAGAAGAACGATTTTTCATTCTTCACCTTCCATCAGATTTAAATCTCTGATCCACTCTCTGATGACTATATGCTTTTTACAATAAAACTGTGACAAAAATAAGGAGAATGCGATGTTTTGGTTAAAATTAATGTTTAGAAAGTTGAATCATATTCAGAAATCCTTTGTATAGTTTCACTGGAAGCTAAAGCTGGAAAGAATTTTTGAGACTACCTATTCCAATCTTCATATATCCGGATGAAAAGCTGCAAGGTACAGAAGGGTAAAGTGACTTGCCTTCCAGGTTCTGAGATTCCCAGGAAATGGTCTAGTTAGTACAATGAAAACAATACACATGCTCTCCCCATTCAGACAGAAACTTTCCCGGAACCGCATTCGAATCCTGACTGTGCCACTCAGGAGCTCTGTGTGTTGGTCGAGATGCCTCTGTGAGCCTAATTTTTCTCAGAAATACAGCCATGATAAAAACACCTCACAAGTTTTGGAGAGAGTTAAATGCAACATTGTACAGGCCTACTTTGTTCTATTGCACTTCATAGACGTTGCATTTTTTTTGTGTTTTGTTTGTTTTTGCAAATTGAAGGTGAGACTCCCCACCAGAAAAAGGATTCCAGACCACCACAATAAAATTAAAAGGATTCCAACCCACCACAATAAAATTGTGGTGCTCTGGAAACCAACCTGCAGTATCTCTGAGGTGTGCCTGTATGTAAACTGTGAAACGGCTGGAGATTCAATAAATCCACTTCTCCACTCCCGCCCCCTGCAGTTCACTGTTCTCACAGCTCTTGCAGGTAGCAACTATAACTTTTAAAGATGTATTACTTAGCTTTTCAGTACTAGTAAGTACAGTAAACATTAATTATTTTTAATGTTTGGTATAAAAAACCTAAAAGCTACAGGATTGATCATTTATTAACTATAACAGATGTAGAAGGAATAAGTGAATAGACTGAATATGTATAAACCTCAATACTTGAGATTGCATTTTGGACAATTATTTGATGCCTTTCTTGCATTGTGATCTCTTTCGCCTACTGTTGCAGGTTCCAGCTGATACTTATAACAAACACTTTACCAAAGTTAATATCATTTTGACAAATACCACATTTTGCTGTGTATAATTTGCACTTTTTTGCCCAAATTTTTGAGGGAAAAATAAAGACACCCATTATACATGGGCAGTATACATAAAATTTCTTGTACCTTGTATCTGTTTTTGTGTTTTGTAATTATTTGTTACATAAAATTTCTTGTACCATATGTTCAAAAATAAATGCTAAAATTCTTTTTTTTTTTAAAGATTTTATTTATTTTTAGAGAGAGAGGAATGGAGGGAGAAAAGGAGGGAGAGAAACATCAGTGTGTGGTTCCCTCTCATGTGCCCCGCACTGAAGACCCGACCTGCAATCCAGGCATGTACTCTGACCGAACTGGCAACCCTGTGGTTCACAGGCCAGCACTCAATCCACTGAGCCACAACAGCCAGGGCAAAAAACAAGTATCTAAACATAAAAAAAAATAAATAAATAATTGAATTAAAAAATTAAAATGAAAGAATTTTTCCTGAAAGTTTAGGCCAAAAACATGGGTGCCCACTCTACTTGGGAGTGTATCAACATGGCAAAATACAGTCCCCCGCCTCCATTGAATGTTTGCATAATTGCTTAGACTATTCTGGATCCAAGGTGGCAGGGAGGCGGAAAGTGTCGAAGATCTGACAACTGATTCTACCTTTCAAAACAAATAGATGTTCCCTGGTGGGCAGAACACAGATACAGCACGCTGAGAACAGAGCAGTAACTGATGTTCATTTCCTGCAGTGAGAGGTAAGTGTTGAGTCACTTGAGTACTGAGACAAAGGGACCAACGCCAAACTGAACTAGCTCAGCACGTCTTTTAGGGGAATTCATAGCATTTTCTGAGCTGTAACAACAAAGCCTGTGTAGTACTTTAGAGTCTGTAAATTATTTTCAGCAGCAGAAAAATTCATTGGATTAGAAGCTCTTTGGAAAATGAAAAATGGCAAAACTGATTATTTTGCTCAAGTAAGAATTTGTTCCAAAAAAGAAAAAGTGCCCTTTCTATGCACTCCTATGGGGTATACATGAACTCCCATATCCATCTCCTATCACAGCACTTCTCACACTGAATCTGACCATCTGCCTGTGTCCTGTATAAGCTAACAGCTCCACAAAGGCAAGGACTGTATATCTTATTCACCCTTATATTCTAGACACCAATGACTGACATGTGGTAGGCAATCATGTTCTGAAATGAATCTGAACTAGCCTATTCTGTCTTCACTGTACGTGGCTGAATATTAAGTAAACATGGTAAGTGTGAGCCCAGTCTAAAGTTAAAAAAATTCTTAAGGGCAAAAAGAGTTGGGAAGGGGAAGAAGGTGGGTGTGAAGAGGGAGGTGGGGGATAGAAGTCAAGCTCAAAACTCCGGCTTCCATTTCACCAACTTTGTTCAAGACAATGACTTGTCTTTATTCTTTTTTAGAAGCCCACCTAGGAAAAAGAATATTAATTGACTTTCCAAAGGTCACAATGAGTCACTAACTTTAGCAGTGCCAAAAAGAGTAATATAAAAATAGAGTTAACAGATCAACTCTGCCTGAGGAATGTTAACGGCCCCCCTCCCACCTACACACCACTAGAGGGGGCCAGTCACTCCACTTCTCTAGGATCAGGGGTGGGTGGGTTCACATACATTTTCCCCAATAACTCGAAACCATGTAGTTATCTAGCTTCATCATCATCATCATCATCATCATCATCTCAAACCAGTTTCCCCAAGCTGAGCTCTGTTCTCCAGTCTTCTCCAGTTACAGTGATGCCTTGCATGCAGGTCAAATGTAGGCCATCTTTTGGCATAAAGAAGACTATGTAGGCTTTCTCCACTCAGAGACATAGGGTTTTGAATATTACTTGTTAGACATTGAACTCAAGTTTCTTTAGAACAGAAGACTATTCGACAGAGACTAAACACTTATGTAGAATGTTATACAATTCTCCAGAGAAATAAATGTTTATCTTTTACTGACAACCAGAACACATGTTTTAAGTAGGTCACCTGCACTCAATAATGAAATGTTATTACATTCCTCACTCAACAGTTCACCTAGTAACACAGTAACGTGTACTCACCCTGGTGGGGGTACTTCTGTAGATTCTACCCCTGATTTTCCTAGGGATCTGAAATCAAAGAGTCCTTTAAGGTAATCCCCGCTTTTTCATTTCAGAGAGAACCGCCTAATTCCAAGAGGCATCGAGGCAAGGGAGGGACAGAGACTGTTAGGAAAGGGGCAGCTCACCTCATGCCAGAAGGAGGGATGAAAGCAGCAAAGGAGGGGAAAAGCGGCTGGCCTTTCACACCAATGGCTATCGCGGCAGCAAGACCAGTAAACAAGAGCTTAGCCTCACCTGGGCTTTAATCCCAGACTTGCCACTGACAATGTATTTCTTCTTGCTGCTCAGCATTGTGACATTACCAGCCCTACTGCCACCTCTGCAGTCCAGGGACCCTTGTGTGTAGGCCTTTAAACTTTCTGCATCAGCAATTCTGTTGGCTCTGGTTCACTTTTTTTTTTTTTTTGGTTGGGGGGTGGGGTGCTACCCTTCCCTGGACTCCCTGAAGCTGCTCAACAACCCCTCCGGCAGTTGGACCCAGTTTAATAAGGCATTTCTGTTAGTGGCTCATCAGCCATTCCTAATTCTGACGGCTGTTTTGCTCTTGTTTTATTTTTTCCCTAAACACCTAATTACGTGGACCCTCTGACCTCTAAGCCTTAACAAGTCTCTTGACAAGGCCCAACTTGCACACGAATAACAATAGTGTACTTATATAACCAGGGACCTTTTTTGCCTGCTATAATTACCTTGTTAATTAGGTTCCTTTTTAACCTTACCTCCTCCTTTTCCATTTCAGATGATTTTTGTTAACCTAGTCTCATCAGAAAAAAAAAAGAACCACAGACCATTAAAACAATGAGGGAATTTATTAAGATGGTAAGGAAAAACACGGTGCAAAGCCCTCAGGCAGCCCGTACCATGCACTCTGTGTCCTTGGGTTAGTCAGACAGGACACTGGTGCTATACACTTAATTGCGTATCTTTTATATAGGTTTTGACATTCAATTTCTAGTCCCATCTCAAGATTGTTGCTGATTAGGTGCTGAATGACTGTATTTGTTCTTTCAAAAAAGTTTTTAAAAAACTGTTTTGTGGAAGGTAAGACTACGAAGGGGAGTTTTCAATTGCCTCAGAGTCCCAGGATCATGATGACCTTGTTACATACCAAACAGAGTCAAATGAAAGGGCAAAGAATCACATCACTTATTTGGTGATTTCTGAAAGGGGGCCAGTGAGTAGGAAATCTATACTCAACTGTAATTTATAGAGACAGGGTAGCAATGTGATTGAATTCTTCCTAAAAAAAAAAAAAAAAGAGAAAGAGAGAGGATGAAAGAGAGAGACTGCTTTTGAGCAGAAGAAAGAACATAAAATGGTAGATTCTTTTTTTAGAATAATCTTTATTTTGAGAGAAAAAGGTCTCTGGAAGGACAGAATAAAGGGAAGAGAACTAATATTTATTAAGTGTCTACACACAGCCCTGTGTCTGCCGTTTCTATTAATCAGCATAAGAATCTTAAAATATAGGTATTACTATCCCCATCTGACAAATCAGGAAAGTGCAGCTCTTGGAGAACAAACCATTTGCCTAAGGTCTCACAGTAAGTAAATGATGGGACTAGCAGGCAGGAGCCTGTGTTTATGTCAGGGCCGACGCTCTCCCCATGGTACCACACCTAACTATACGCATCAGAAGGCCCAAAACTCCCCTGGTCCTAATCTTGGGTGCATTAGTCCTCCTTCATTTTTCTTAATTTAATTAGTCCTTACATTTACTTTCTTATCAGATTGGGTCTCAGAAATGACATCATCCCAGATGATCGTAGAGCTCTGATCAAATCACAATTCTGAAATGGCTAATCATGTAAGAATTTAAATGGAACAGCCCTTTAATTGGCAACTCTGTCCAATCAATGTCACCACCAGAAATTAAAACAAATTAATTGAATTCAATTATCGATGTTTACCATCACCCATGACAATACTGGTCTCTTACTCAGAATTTCAAGAAATAAGATAGACCAATATTTTTCTGCTTGCTTGCTGAATCTCTAAGCTTCTGCTCGTGATAACCAAGGATGTTCACCCTAGACACTCTCAGGGGGTTCCTCATTTTCCTCACTTGGGTGAGAAGGAATTCTTTGGTCCAGTGGCTTAAGTCACTAGACCTGCACCAAAGGGTGCTGCAGATATAAACAAAACACAACCGCAAGACATTTTAGGGTACTATTACAGACAGGAAAAGCCTTACCACTTAATGAGTTTATCTAACAAAATAGTTCTCAAACTTTAGGTGCTTCAAAATCACCTGGAAGCCCTATGAGAACACATTGCTGGGCCCCACTCCAAGTTTCTGATTTAGTCAATCTGGGTGGGGCCCAAGATCTTGCATTGCTAACAAGTTGCCAGGTGACGCTGATGCTGCTGGTTTGGGGACCACACTTTGAGAACCGCCACTCAAACACAGGTTCCCAGCCTGAATAAAGCAGCCCTACTTCTCCTGACTCTCTCCTTAGCCAACCATTTGATCCTATCAGTGGTTACACTAGGGAGGCACATTCAAAGGCCGAAAAGAAAAGGTCACCTGAAAGGTCCGACATTACAATGAAGTGAACCTTCATAACCAACTGGGTCCAAGTCTGATTTCCATAGTTTAAAGCTACCAAAATAGATGTTTAATACCTTAAGAAAAATAGAACATGTGTGGAGGATAAAAGATCTATTTAACCTAAAGAGGATCAATCAGGCCAAGAGAAAACAAGTCATTTTCAAATACACGAAGATGATGACCAGAGATCCTCTCTATCTGTATCTCCATTCCCTAACATTTCCGGCACTTAACATCTATAATCCTCATTTGAAAATTGGGAACAATAACATCTACTTTGCTTTTCTCAAATGTGTGCTCAGAAATAAAATAATGTATCTGAGAGGGTTGTGAAGACTACACAACACACAGTATAAAATATTATAAATATTATAAAACATTAACCTTTCAGTTTTTTTAGGTCAAAAGTTCTTTAGCTAGAGCCATGGCTGTCTAGACCCCCCCGCTCCCTTCCCTGGCCAAAATGCAACATTTTGTGTGTTTATATTTTCCTGGGAGAGGCCCATAGTTTTCATCGGGTTTTCAAATGGGTCTCTGCTTTAAATGTCAATCCTGTTTAAATGTCAATCCTGACCCAGAGTTATAGCCAAGCTCTCTCTACCACTATATACCGGACACCTTAAAGGTGTCTGTCTCACCTACAGGTAGATATGGTTCACGGACTCTTAGAGACACCTCTCCCTTCCAAGCCAAATGAGCTGCTAAAACAAATTCTTTACCTATAAAAGGGATTACTTTCTGCCAAAAGATCAGGTAACCAGCTGGCTGAGTACTCAAGATGGATTTCCTACGGAAAAGTACCATGTACTGCACAGAGCCTGGGTGGGAGGAGGAAATATTAAAATGTAGAATCTTAAAAAAAAGGTCACTGCTGATCTTCAAGCAACATTAGGGGAGGTATTTCACCTACTAAGAGGGACTGAAGATTTCTCAGGGGAAGTAAAAACATATTGGTAAGAAAAATTTTTTAAAGGATGTGTTCCTCAACCTTTTAGCAGTAAAACCGCCTGAACAAGCCTTAGAAAATCCTTCACATGAAAACAGCTGAGTAGCAGAGGCTCCAGCAGAAGTTTTCCGTGACTGATGGAACTTAACTGAAGGTCCGCCTTGTCAACCTCAGGGTCTACCCTCAAGACTGGGGTTCTTCAAACTTCGTCCTGGCTTGTTTCCCTGCTGGGAATCTGAGATGTGAGTACTGTCAGCTGCTGTCTGGTCTTTTGAGTCCTGTCCTTGGAGGGGTATTAAGTCCATTTTTGGTGGTTAATGTAAAGGGAGGTGTTGTAAATGCACTTTCTCTGCTAAATTTTCCTCCTGAAAGAAGGTCTGAGAGCCTTGTTATATTTCTTTTGGAAGCTAGGATATTCTCGGTGGAAGTTTCATTACATTGATATGTAAACTGGGACAATGAGTCCAACATTTGTTAAAGCTTTCTTAAACTGAAATTTCTGCCCAATATGGGAGCTAGCTCCAGGGTTTTCCCTCAGGGATTCAAAGGTACTTGAACATTTCACAGGTGAGGTCTGGAAATCTATAGGCAACACACTAGAGGGTGTTCAGGGGTTCACTTTGCTGGCTAAGTGGACATTGGTGGCAGCTTAATGTAACATTTCCACACCAGGTCAGAAACTAATGATTTATGCAGTATGTGAAAGAAAGCCTCAAGAGGTTAAGTCTTTTGGCAAGAAAATATAGCAGATGAAAAAACTGAATCATTGAAGATAAGCCCCTCCCTACTCTTTCTTATTGTTTTTGTTTAAAACAAACCTACTGATCAAAGGTATTTTTCTAGTTTTTTGAGAGAGAATGACCAAGAAATCACCAAATGAGAGATACTGTGCTGAAAACAGAGCAGACCTGTGCTTTAAAGAATGTTTTCTAAAAGCTGGGAAGTCCTAAGTCAAATCCCTTAAGTAACAGTCGCACTAACTCCTTTAGGACAATTTCCTTGTTCACAAACATAAAAAGAAGACAAGTGGGTAAAAAAAAGTTCAGCAGGAGCTCCTCTTAAAGATGTACTTAGCAGGTAAGACAGTAAGGACTGTTACAAGATTAAGAGTTACTATAAAAACTTGCATTGGTCTGAGTTGACACACTGCTGTTCCGTGGAATTCTTCTGTAACACTCCTTTAGAGAAGAACCAAAGCTCAGTATCTTACTGTGGTCCCTCCCTGTTCCCCAACAAAACCAGATTTCTTGCTCCCCTTTCATGTTATTAGCAAGTAGCTGGTGATTAAAAAACCAAACTAGAATTATTATATGAATCCTTTCCATGAATTCTAAAGCACTACATTATTTGAAATAAGCCTGTGGATTGGTAGGATTTCTTTCTATCAAACATTTTAAAGCTCAGCTCAAGATTCTGAAACAAAATTTTCAAAAACAACAACAGCAATAACCCAAGAAAAAGAATAAACAATAGCTGTAATGATGAGAGTTGAAATATGGGCTCCTCAGTCGGGCCTTTGTTAGACTTACTATATATTCAATCGCATTGATGGTTATTTATTTAAGTCCGCAATTTCATGTATGTACGTACATGTATAAACCACGTATGTATAAAACACAAGACGGCACAGACTGTAAGAAATCAGTCTAAACCTACAAGAAACCACAGTTAGGAACATAAGAATGGTTGCTCTTTTCATTTATTTTTAAATACACTTCCCTTTTCTTTTTTAATCCTCACCTGAAGATATGTTCATTGATTAGAGAGAAAGGAAGTGGAGGGAGGAGTGGGGGAGAGAGTCATTGGCGTGAGAGAGAAACACCAAGCAGCCACCTCCCACATGCACCCCGCCAGGACCCAAACCAGCACCCCAGGTAAGCACCCTGACTGGGGACCAACTTGCAACCTTTTGGTGTACAGGATGACGCTCCAAACAACGGAGCCACCCAGCCAGGGCTGGTTGTTCTTTTTAAAATCAAAGGTGACACTGGATGTAAAACATTAGGTTTTAGGTGGTAGTTCTTAGCAACAAATAAGTCCTTCTTACCATTATATTAAAAACCTTTATCAGGCAAATATGATGTTTTGAAGAATGCTACTAAAGGAGCTGTAGTTGCTACCTTTTAGACATACACACATAAAGAATATTTGGGGAAATGTTTTGACTGGAGAGGGAAAAACACAGGCAGGTGGGGGAAAAATGTCTCAAATCTTTTCAGAGACTTGAGAGCACACCACTTCTGGGAGTTCCGGGTCTACCCCCACCCCCCACTACAGGCACACTTCAAAGATATTGTGGGTTCTACCTAAGGCAGCGATTTTCAAAAGGTATGCTGTAAGAATTTTTCTTTAATTTTTTATTTATTGATTTTTAGGGAGAAAGGAAGAGAGAGAGAGAGAGAGAGAGAAACATCGATTTGTTGTTCCATTTATTTGTGCATCCTGATTCTTCTATGTTCCCTGACCACGGATCGAACCCACAACATTGGCATATTGGGACGATGCTCTAACCAACTAAGCTACCCAGCCAGGGCCTGTAAGAATTTTTAAACATAATATCTGATTATTTAGTCAGAGGCACTGACCTCTTTTCCCTTAGACTGTCAAATTTTTAAAAATGACAACAGCTCTGGCTGGTGTGGCTCAGTGGACTGAGTGCCAGCCTGCAAACCAAAAGGTCGCAGGTTTGATTTCTAGTCACGGCACATGCCTGGGTTGCAGACCAGACTCCCCAGCTGGGGGCATGGGAGAGGCAACCAATTGATCTATATCTCACACACTCTTTCCCTCCCTTTCTTCCTCCCTTCTCCTCTAAGAAGTAAATAAATAAAAAAATATATATTTTTTTAAATGACAACAGCCAACACAACAATAGCCATCTGGTGTGAATGAATCAAAATTACACCTATTTTTTGTCAGATTGGTAAAAATATGTATTTTTGATGTGCTACAGAATTCTAGTAATTACTTTATGTGTGTCATGAGATGAAAATGTTTGAAAATCGCTGGTCGAGACCACTGCAGTGAAGCAAGAATTGAAATAAGGCAAGTCCTGCTCTTTTTGCTGGTGCAGGGTTCTTGCCTTCAGTTGGTAAAAAATGCAACATCTGCCCTGGCTGGTGTGGCTCAGTGGATTGAGTGCTGGCCTGTGAACCAAAACGTCACTGGTTTGATTCCCAGTCAGGGCACATGCCTGGGTTGCAGGCCAGGTCCCCCATTGGGGAGCATGCAAGAAGCAAACACACGCTGATGTTTCTCTCCATCTCTTTCTCCTTCCCTACCATTCTCTAAAAATAAATAAATAAAATCTTAAAAAATATGCAACATCTGTGAAACACAGTAAAGTGAGGTATGCCTGCATTCTTTTTTTTTTTCTATCCACATGAGAAACAAACAAAGTATCAGCTTATAAATCAAATGCAAAGCAAACCACAGGGTAACACAACCCATGCAGCCCACCAGCAGCAGTAGGGGCTCCAGCCCAGCACAGCCAGGCAAGAAGCTGACTCTGACCAGGCAGCTCTCAGACCTTCCCCAGTTTCCCCCACTTGTAATTAAGAAACAGGGGCGACCCTAGACATAGAAAATAATCAGAAATTAGAGTAATAACTTTTTCCCCAACCACAGGTCTTGGCAGGAATTTCTCATAGATGATCCCTGTCACCTGTCAGAGCTGTTGGCCTCATTATCAAGAAACAGAAGGAAAAGCAAAGTGACGAAAGAACTCACCATCCACTCGGGCATGTGAAAAGCTGAGGTGCCCTCATTACCGTCCCACTTCTCCATAGTGCAGGCTTGGGGAATGTATGTCCTGAAGCAAAAGGGAAAGCTGGTTTGGAAATGCCGGGGCTTTCTGAGCTCCCCAAAGCAGAACCTAACCTAGTGATTCAGAAGCTCACAGTGTCTAGCAGAAGCTGTATCCCCTTTCACAGACTTCCTATTCAAATCAAGATCATTCTCTAACTGCCTACCTAGTCCCTTAGTGGTTAGCTTCAAAGCTTCTGTTTCTGATTCAAAGTCAGAGCTGATGCGAGGTTCTGCACCCAGGCACTGAACTTCCTACGGGGCACTCACTGTGTAATGCTACCCACTCTACCCCCAGCTCCCCAGTGGGGACTTTCTGCGGCAACAGTCAGGCTTCCTCCCTTTCCCAGAGACTGTAAGGCGCTTGTTAATTTTCTCCAGATCCTCTGTACACGTCATTGCAGGTGCTGATACCAAAATCAATAAGGATCGAGGTCAAGAAGGCACTCCCATTTCTCAAGAGTTGCTTGATCAGTACGGTAAATAGGCGTTTCCTTAAAATAAAAGTTCCTTATGGCTCTCAAGTTTAAACAGCTATGCAGAAGCTCCCCGTCTGCTCACACCAGGGGTTTGGCACCAAACTCAGGCATATCTCGGGTTAAATTCTTACTGCACAGGACATTCGGGAGAGTCGAATGGAGCCAGGGAAGATCTCTCGCAAAATCTGAGCTTATTAGAGGCTCTTTAAGAAAGTGTTAGGACTACAACTCCCTCTGCTGGCTCTCCGTGCTATGTACATGAAGGTCTAAGGCTTTCCGCTCCAACAACAGCATGGGAGCCAATTGTGAATTAGCTGCTTCCCTAGGGCTAGTCAGAGCTAGCACGGTGTAGGTGTAGAGGCAGCCAGGGTTTGGGGTCAGGAGGAGTGCTGCCTCAGAGTCCCCATCCAATGCCGGTTTTTACTCACGGGTCAGGTTTCAGGAGGAAACAGGATGCCAACACAGTAGCTGTATACACTAGAGCCTGAAGGGACCTCAGGAGCAATTTCCTTTTTATGCCATACCAGTTCTCTGCTCTGCATATTTCGGATGTTTGGAAAGAAGACAAAACTAGAAAAAAAGTGACCTAACCTATTTTACTTTCTTATTCATTCCAGTAAAAGTGCCATAGATTTCAGGCACAAAAGAAGCCCAACAAGATATGTATGCCCGCTTTGGTCCTCTTCAAGAATCAAGGACTCTTGAATAGTGTCAGTTCCCACTGCAGAGGATCATTTCTCTAGAGCTGACAGTCATAATATTATAGTTAGAATTACAGATTCATTGCACACTAGGGCCTTCACTGGCTAAGAAGACAGTCCTTTGGATGTGGAGAGGAGAGGAGAGGAGAGGAAGGTAATGTCTAGGGGAGGAGGTAGTGTAAGATGCCAGAGAGGGCAGAATTCAGATGGCTGACCCGGAGGTACAGACTAGAAAGAAAGGCAAGTGAAAACAGAAGG